ACTGAAGAGCAAATCCATCGATACACAGCTCCAAAAGTCCATAATATCATTACTGTGCATGTTCATTATCACGATAAACTGAATTATTGAATATTGACATATATGTGTACTCTCAAGTAAACATATGCAATGGGTTTGTAAAATCTGTAAAAGTTTTGACATGATATTTGGTAGCACTGACAGTGTTCTGACCAGCAGGTGTCGCCATCGTATTCTGTTTAATGCGCTTTGTAGGGTGAGATATTTGTGACAGCAGAGCTGAAGAAGAGAGAATGTCTAAAGACAGGAAGATAAATAAATGCTAAGATCAAAATAGCCTACGTAAGCTGAAAAGCCTCGATGAAGGAGGAAGAAAGTTCTATGATGTCGTTTGTATCTGACCAGTGAGTGATTAAATTCTACTTTAAGCCCATATCAATCAACAGATGGAATTTCACACACAGGTCAGAAATGTATATTCAAGTTTAAGATGTACCTGTGCTTTAAACCTAGTCTGGTATGATGTGAGAGGTATTAAATGAGAAGATACTGTAATATTTTAACAGAGTTGTACAGATACAGTAGCCGAAACATGTCTCTAAACCTGCACTCCTAAAAGTAAAGGTTTTTATTTGCATCAATGCTTTCACGAAGAACCTTTGATGTCCATTTCATTACAAAATCACTCTTTATTGTTATTACTTTGGTTTCCGCTTTGAATTTTGTTTTCCAAATCAAAATAGTGCACATGAAAAAGACAATATGAATTTATAGTAAATAGGCCTACAAAAGTGTTGTTGAACCATACTACAATATTTTGTATTATACTGTAGCTATGTATTGTGGTATCATCAACACTTTTTATTGACTGTGATGAACTGATAAACTATACTGGACAAACTGGGGTGAATTGTTGTATAAAATGCCCTACACAACAGGTCCTTATAAAGGGTCACAAAACACCAAAACGCATTTTTTTGAGATGTTGACAGTCATATATGCGTCCCACATTGCTAAAAACACTAATAGGAAACATTTATTTAACACACAAAAAAATGTTGTTTTTGCGTTGTTTTGAGCAAATTCGTTCTTCCGGTTTGAAAAAATTTTTTGAAGCTCTGTCACAGCCATAAGATCCTTGTGTAAATTCACAAAAATTCACAAAAAATCAATTGATGAGAAAGACTTGGTTCGAACCAATCAGTGCGCTCTATTGTGAACGAGATGCAACTCTATTAACATGCATGATATAGCTTTGAAGACTCCTTAGCTGTTACAGTGTTCAGAGAGACGTCACGTTGTGTTGCCAACCATAATTCAAACAAGTAGGAGAAGAATTGTTTGGTCATCAGTGTTGCGCTTTTAAATGTTACACAACAAAGGTTTTGTTTCCATTTCCCCATAATGAGAGAACAGCTCGTGACAAAATTATGTTGGTAAGAAACATTTTTTACCTGAGAGCTTTTCGAATTTATAATGAAACATGGATTTGCCACGGATTTGATGAATGTTAGTTGTTTATGTTTATTCAGATGCCAAAGTTGTCGTCAGTACCCTTTTTTAGCTTTTAAAGACATACTTAGTCAAAATTATTTAGTTTACAGTGATATCACTACAATATTATGTTGTTGAAAATGGCAGGGTAACTTTATATTGCTATAGTTCATATTGTGCTACCATAGCAACTATAAAATTACCACAACAGATTAATTCAAACATTTACTTTAGTATGGTCAAAGAGCTTAGAATTATCAAGAGGTGACACTTAATAACGCTGCATTGGAACAGCAGCACCCAGCAACAGCACAGCGATTCCGCCATCTTGGAGTGAAAGCGATCGGCTGTTTATTGGATCTTATTGCTGTCACGATGGCAAGCAGCTATTTTGTTTTTTATTTATTTACTTGCATTGAATCTGAAATACAGCCTGAGGGATGACAATACAACACTTACAATCACAAGACTGGTGGTCATCAGCACTTTTAATAGTTTTTCTTACAGATTTGTTTAATATAACCTACCATACTTTTATTCTTGAAACCGTCACTTTTAGGTGAAATTACTTTAACTTACTTTAATTTAATAATTTATGCACTGGCATAATACAAATAAATATTTACATATTAAATTAAATTAACATGACTTTCATAGTGGGACATTGATAACATACACTGACATGACTGACCATACATTTTTTGCTGTAGTATTGGCTGTATGTTAAATGGAAAAGATAGATGTTACAAAATATGGCCAGCTTGTTCATTTCATGACTAAAAGTCTTACTGCTGTCATTAAAAATCTTGGAGGCCATACAAACTACTAGAGATAGTTTTTTTCTTGTAGGGTATACTCATTATGACATCTCACTAATTTAAATAAAACAAAAAAATAGTAATCTAAGTTAATTTGTTAACCTTACTTTCATGTTATAAGTTAAAAAGATATTTTAGATATCAGATATATCAAACTTAGTCTTGTCAACATTTTGAAATTATCTTTGTTTTCATATATATATATATATATATAGTTTAAAATGTTATATTTCAAAGGGTGTGCACTAATTTATGCTGAGGGCATTATAGCATAGTATTTAACTCATATTTACCTAAATATTTTAATTCATTTAGTCTCATTAGTCTGAAGTTAGTTATCTGTGCTGTTGTCCAATAGGTTGTTTTCATAATCACATGACGTCATTGATGATGCATGATATTCAGGTGGAAGGCAGGAAGTGATTCCTCTACATAGGAATCACTATCAGAACATCAAAATGTTTGTTTTATGTTGTTTAGAATTGTTTAAATGTGCCAAAATAACAAATGCTGAACAGCTTTTATAGAACTCCAAAAGCTTTTGTCCATAAACCTGGGAAGTTCAAGAATCTGGCTAAAGAAAATGGAAGAAAAGGCAGCATGTGATCAACATTTTTTCAATACATCCATGTGTACAAACTTTTTTAAATGCGACAATAATTTGACAGCACTAATAACGATTATATACAAGTTTAGCCATGTGTTTAAATATGTTGATGTGTTATATAAAAATCAGATACAAACACCAACACACTTATATAAAATCCAGGAGTTAATAACGTACCCTGCCATGTAACCGCTGTTATGAAATATCTATTTTGTTTTGCAATAATCCATGTCTTGACTGCCATTTTAGTGGAATAAACAACTGTATCGTGAACATCGAGATGTGCAGCAGTGGTGAATGTTTGTTGATGGCAAGTTCATCGACTGAACAAAAATTAAGTTTAACCCTTGTGACAAAACTAGACGGTTATCATTGTGTGTTTTTCCCCATTACAAAAATAAATAAATAATACTGTAGACTATGCGTCCACGCTTTTGTATGCTTTCATCTGTTATTTTGTGATGTCTGTAAAATATCTGTGTGGGGGAACAAATATAGTAATTTATAATAAACTTGTTTTTGAACCACATAGTAAAGTGTATAATGCACTGTAAAAAGTGTTACTTAAATAAAACTTAAAAAAATTAAGGCAACATTTTCCAATTACTTTTTGTAAGTTTAGTGAACTTGTTATTTTGATTTGGTAAAAATCAATATTATTATTTTACCGTTTGCAAAAAAATTAAGTAGAGTCTACAATATAAAGCAAAATTTTTTAGTTTAACCAAAGTGTTAAAGATCAGTATATTGATCAAATAATACTTAATTAAAATAAGTAACATTTAAAATAAAAAAATGAATTTATTTGATTTTAATTAAATCATTTTCTCTATTACTCTTAGTTTATACAAATTATTTTTTAATTCAACTTTAATAAGGAAAGAGAGGTATTTGTCAAATGTTTATTACTCTAACATTTGCCATACATAAACAACTGGGTGCACTTATTATAAATTTATAATCAAAAGTTTCTATAATCAATTTTATTGTTAATGTTGTAAACATTAACATTACAAATTACAGAAACTTCTAACCTCATCTTTAAGCGCAGCATAGAAGACCTTTAAATGCAATCTGTACACTAACAATAAAATACAGTGAATCTTGACCTGAGCAATTTACATAAACAGACTAGCTTAAGTGCACAGTACAGTACATTTTCATATGTACTACAACATTGAAATAAAAAAAATAAAGTGCATCTGATCTCAGCATTTGACATAACAAAACAAACTTTGCCCCATATATACAAAAGCAAATCAAATGCCCATATTTGCTGCAGACTTATCCAGAAACTGAAGAAGTCGGTGCGTGACTACCACATTGTTCCAAGTCAAACTGTCCATTGAACAAAAGTGATGAAGCAAAGAAACAGAACCTCTGAGCGGCAACTAATTAACTAACTCAGAAGTTTTTGTGTCATGAATCAGGAGGAAGACTTTGGACGCAGTGTGTCAAGTCCCACAAAATGTCTTTGAAACACCTGAAATGTTTTGCGTAGTTGTGGTGGATACTGCAAGTTCATAGCCCTGGCGTGGTTTCCAAGACGAGTAAGCACAGGGATGCCCTCAATGATGATGTCCACCATATCTGGAACACGGCAGACATATATCTGCATATTGCGCATTTTCAAGTCTTCATAGACACTGCTCTCTGTTTTTCCCTGTATGAGAATAAACAGAACAATAAGTGGCAAAACTGAAAAAGCCATTCTGACAGTTATATTGTCAGATGATTATGATTTTTGCCTAATGTAAAACAAGGATTTTACTTTTGTGAAACTGCAGTTAAAAATGACATTATTTTTTAAATCAAGTCTACAAGCAACTAAAAGTCCAAAAGGTTAACTTGGGACCCTGGTTCCTGCATATTCATTTAGGTGTTTGTAGGCGTGTTTCGAATGTTTGACAGAGCTCCATCTTTGTACTATAATTCAGTCAGACATATGATTGATATCTGAGGAATGTGTGCCTTTCCCAAAAAAGTCAAACTATGCTTTTTAAACAATACTTACATAGTAGTCAGAGATCAGCTTTTGCCCACTCTCTCCCATGTATTTAATGAGGCATCTCAGAGCCTCGTCTCTCTTCCTCACCACAGAGGTACTTGAATCCTATAGTTGGTAAGTGAATCATGAAAAAACTGAATATTGCAGGCAATATAACTACAAACGTAAAATGTCATTATCAGTGTGGTTCTGTACAACCTATTCAACAGAGTTCAACTCTATCTATCTATCTATCTATCTATCTATCTATCTATCTATCTATCTATCTATCTATCTATCTATCTATCTATCTATCTATCTATCTATCTATCTATCTATCTATCTATATATATATATATATATATATATATATATATATATATATATATATATATATATATATATACATACATATATATATACATATATACATATACACATATACACACATACATACACACACAGACACGCACATATACATATATACACAAATAACACATATATACACATATATATATATATATATATATATATATACACACACACATATATATATATATATATATATATATATATATTTATATATATATATATATATACATACACACACACACATACACATACGCACATACATATACACAGACACAGAGACACACACGCTTTTTTTATATTTACCCTTAAAATTAATGACTTTGTTACCTATTAGGCAAGATGAGTAAATAAAGTACTTATTGCATAAACATGCATCAGCCACATTGTTACCATGTTTGCCTTACATGTATCAGTTCCAATAACTCCAATTGATGTTTTCACCAGTCGCTGCACCCTTCGCACTAAACAGGTCAAGAAGTTTTGGAGTGTATTTGTCCAGCTGGGACATAAAAACCGATTCTTGTGGAACACCAGTACACCTTTGGAATTCTTCATTTATCTGTAATACATCAATTGTTTGTCTGTTATTTGGAACCAAATGTGTAAAGAATTGGCAACCTTTTATTCCTATGTAATGAAATCCTCCATAAAACATGTGAGGTAAAATTTTCAGTATGTGTTCAGCTAAAAGTGTGTCTAGCATCACATAAACATCTTTGTTCACCATTATTTGCCAAGCAGCATGTCATTGATAAATCATTTACCTGGGCAGGCCATCTTTCTTTAATTTTTGCACATCTGGGCTCTGGACAACCACTTCCATTCTCCAAAAGATAAAGAAAAACACATTCTCCAAAAACACTTCCAAAAGATAAAGTTAAACCTTTAACAATTTTTATGATGCATTGCAGAGATAGGTGGTAAAAATATAATGTCCTCATCTTTTTCAATCAAGCAGGAAATACATTTGTGACTACAAACTTAGCCGTTAACTTATAACTGACACATGTACGAGTAAGATAGCCCATGCTAGTGGTGTTCTGCTAGCTAATTCGGAAAGAGGCATAACATTTAAGACTAATGATTTGAGACAGAATAATTCACATTCACCAAAGCTATACTAGACAAACAAAATGACAATGTTTTTTTTTGTAAAAGTACACAAAACAAAGTAGAAACATAATCTGGCAATATATCTAACATATTTCGATCCTACGTTTGCGATAGTTGTTTTAAGATTAATGTTAAATTCCGTACTTTCGGTAAGGCCGCATGGCGCTTGCAAAACTGACAAACTTAACCGTTACTGTCATGAAAGGCGACTTGTTTACATTTTACAGTGCAATAAATGCGTGCTCAGTCGGCTAAAACCTAACTTTATGCAATGTAAATAGTTACTTACATGTGTTGCACGTTGTATAAAGCCCTCAAAAACTCCACAGAACGTCGAAACTGGTCCGGTACAGGTATGAGCAACGGTATCGTTGCTCTGCATGCGTGCTGCTTCATGTGGGCGGGTCGTGAAGTTTTACGTTGGATATAAACACTTAAATAGAGTTTTGTAGAAGCAATTTATTTTGAAGGTCAGTAAAACACAATTTTTTGATGGGTAATAATAAGTTACAAAAACAATCGCAATTTTTACTTATGTATAACTTAAATTAATTAAAAATGGAAAGGTAATCAATTTATTGGAAGAAATATACTTTTTAAAAATTAATTCCTATGGACAACACCCTTGAAGAACTTTTTACAGTGTGTGTACAACTCTTTTTTAATGAATGCAACAGAATACTAGTAACTAGTAAACTGATCAACTGTAATAAATACTTTAACTTTAGTGTAAACTGTGATGCATTGTGATTATAGAGTAGAAAACTGAAGCATTGTATTGTACCACAGCAACAATAAATATACACCAGTTTAATTCAAGTAATTAGCATCCAAACACGGTATTTACATTTTTTCATGCAACATAACTATACAATATCTACCTCGATGACAGGCAAATATATTTTATTTCAGCAGAAAAATCGGCCCTCTTCATGATATAAGGTCCAGCACATGTCCAGCATATGTGGTTATTTTTTATTTGTATATTCCTTTGAAATATGGTATAAATCCTATGAATACGGACTTTCATTAATGTCTACCATTCAGTATTTTGTTTTACTTCCTGCCCTCCATCTTGATTTCATGAGTCATTAGAACCACATGAAAACAACATATTGGAATATTCATTCCAAAATGGCCACCGCATGACACTTGCGGCATCTAGTGGCTGTTTCCCAAGTAGCAACAGACTGTCGCCTCTTGGTGATTCTCTTTGGTATGGTTCAAAACACTATAGTATTCTGTAAATTACTATTGTATTTTACATGAGGGAGGTTAGTATGAAAGAATGTATAGTACAGTATAGAAATAGTGCAGTAAATGTAGTACTAAAAGTAAGTGCAAGATCTGTGCAAATCTGTAGAGAAGCTGTTTATATTGCAGGTTAAAAATGCAAAGGTGACTCTTCATGCTGAAAATGTTCTTTAGATTATTAAAAGGTTTTTCCAACTGTGAAAAAAATGTTCTTTGAAACATGGCATCACTTCGAAACCTTTGTTGTAAGAAATTAAATAATAATTCCACATCAAGTTATTTTAAATCGTTTATTTGACAGTAATTTCTCATACAGATCATTGCTTTAATTTATTCTGAGTTATAGATCACAGTGTGATATATGTATAGGATATATATAAGAGATTATATGAGGTTAAGCCACTGGGCTTGCATTCAATATAAGTGTGTGTGAGTTTTTTCATGTGCAAGCTACTTTAGCCAGTCGGTATGACTTCTTTATATCTGAGGAGGCCTGTGGACAGATTCATGCACTCTCTGGACGACAAGGGAACACTCCACAAAGTTGAGGCGATTGTCATGATCAGTATCGGCATCTTGCATCCATTGCTGAGTCACCATTGGGGTCAGAGTCTAATGTAGAGAGAGAGAGAGTTAGAACTAATGTAGAACTAATCATTAATATAATGACACAATTTTTTTAAATAATTTTTATTTAATTATATATTTTTTATTTATTTATTTATTTATCTGTCTATCCAATCATCCATCCATTCCTCCATCCATTTATTTATTTATTTATTTATTTATTTACTTATATGTTTGTTTGTTTGTTTGTTTGTTTGTTTATTTCAAGGCCCTAAAGTCTTAAGTCTGTATTTCTCATGCTTAGTTGTAGTAATGTATTGCTTGAGCCAATATAATTAATGGACATGAGTGACAGTACTCGCTCAGTGCACCAGTCTACCAGATGCAGTGCCCCAACATTAATGAAAACAATAGAATGTACAACCCACTAGAATGCTACATGAGTAATTTATACATGTGAACACATATAACAGAAAATTAACATCAATAAACTTCTGAATATACAGCGGTCAGCATATATAAGTCCACCCCTCACAAAAACTCTCTTTTAAATTCATATTTTTAATAGGAAGCTAGACAATATTATATTTGTGCATATACATCAGATTAGTCAGTACTGAAGCCATATCTGGAGCTTATCTAACAAAATAGCTCACGATAATGGTCTAAAAACTAGAACACTCAAATTTATATGTTCTAGAAAAATATTAAATACAAATTTAAAAAAAAGAGGAAAATCAAGAGAAGCAAAAAATATAAAAATTTAGTTGAAATCTTGTAGGTTGTAATTTATTTGTGCAATAGTTTGCTAGAATTTAATTTTATTATCTTTCAATTTCTAAATAAGCTTGGTGACTAAAATATTATTTTAATAAACATATCTCGGCCGGAAATTCATTGTATTTCTAATATCAACACACTTCTAGATTCCCATTGTTGCACATTTCTGTTGTGTAATTGGCTCCTATAATATAGAGTAAATAAGTCCAGAGCTTATCATTGTTATTGACATAAATGTTATTGCGATTTGATATCAGTTCTCATTTTATCGTTTAATTGTTTGCAATCACTTATGTAAAAAAAGAAGCAAATCATGGGATAATTTTTTTAAGTGCAAGAAAAGCTAATTATTTATTACCCATGCAGTTGAAATCAGAATTATTAGCGCCCCTGTTTAATTTTTTCCCAAAGTTTTAAAGAGAGCACATTTTTTCAACACATTTGTAAACAAACTATTATGTTTAAAAATGTGTTGGTATTAACTCATTTCTAATAACTAGTTTATTTTTATCTTAGCCATGATGACAGTAAATAATATTTACTAGATATTCTTCAAGACACTTCTATACAGCTTAAAGTTAAATTTAAAGACTTAATTGTGTTAACTAGGCAGGTTAGGGTAATGGTTAGGGAAATTTGACAAATCATTGTATAATAATGGTTTGTTCTGACTATGAAATAAAATTATAGCTTTAAGGTGCTAATAATTTTGACCTTAAAATCTTTTTTTAAACTGCTTTTATTCTAGCTAAAATAAAACAATTAAGACTTTGTCCAAAAGAAAAAATATTAACAGACATACTATCAAAATTTCCTTGCTTATGATCATTTGAGAAAAAAAAAAAATTATATATATATATATATATATATATATATATATATATATATATATATATATATATATATATATATACTCATAAAAGAAACAAAAATTTAAAGGGGGGCTAATAGTTCTTTGCTGATTTTTGAATTTGTTTAATGAACATATCACACCTGGATATCTCCTCCGAACTCAAACCTCATCAAGTCAAAGAACCTTGTTCCGTCCAGAAGTATGTTGCCAGAATCAGTGTAGTGAGTGCAGACCTGCTCTCCATAAGTATTCTGAACAGGCCCATTATCTATTATGTAAAGAAAGGGAATCAAATTAAAGCAAATAGGAAAAAGACACAAAAAAAACAAAAAAAAAAAAACTGTGAACTGTGAGCTGTGATTGATCACTCACCCTGAGCGTTCACCACCGCTGCCAGGAGACACAAACTCAACACTGCCGCCAGCTGGACAAACTGCGCCATTGTTGCAGAGATTTTACAAAAACGAAACTGCTAGACGAATAGCTGGAGAAAAACAACAAACAAAAGGAACTTACTCAAAAAGAAATCTAAAAGCAGTGGTTGTCATTAGACGTTCGTTTTAAATGTCCTCGTTTTAAAGTACAGTGCTCTGTGATATAATTGAGAATCAGGCCCGTAGCTAGCCTGGTGAAAGGGGTGGTTCTTTTTTCTCAAAAAGTGGACCTTTTTACAATTATACGCCTCATTTTCTATATAGTTATGAGATTTAAATACTGTATTTTTTTGCATTAAACTTCATTGTGTTTTTAGTAAATGATAAACTGTAATAAACTGAATTCTTCAACATTTACTTGGTTGGGTGTGTATAGTATAGCATGGTTGAAAACAATATAAAACAAAATAAAAAAAAATGCAAATTATATAAATGTACACGTAAACAAACACACATATATATAAATAAATAGAATAATATATAAAAATATATACAGAATAAAAGTTACTTTTGAAATATTTTCTCAACAATACAGTAGTTTTCTTGCACAGCTTTTCGTTGGACTCATGAAAAATATTTTAGCATTGGCCAGAACTGATTAGCTGAAGTCACAACAGCCAACAGAGGATTCTGCTTGGTCTTAAGGCTTTTTTGATGGGTTATTTTTACCATGATGGCATAGCAGTCAAAATAGGACAAATGAGCTCATGTTTGGGACAAATTCTGAACCATTGTTAGTGAGGGGTGAGTCTTCCAAACCACCCGAATCTCCCTGGCTACAGGCCTGATAAAACTCTTTCACAAATAACAATACTAAGGAAGTAAATGAAAGAAATAAGCCTTGTTCTATGTGGAATATTTGATATTACCTCTGTAATAAAAAAAAAAAAAAAAAAAAACACAACGTCAGATGTCCCCTATTTACATAGAAGAATAGTTTTGGAATATTTATCAAGAAAAGCACTTCATAAAAAATAATCAGTTTACTAGTACAGAGATAAACTTAATAAAAATGTATGGTAACACTTCATTTTGATGTTCCATGTGAGTATCAGTATCTTCTTAATATCTGTTGATACTTCTCCTTCAATAGACATTTAATTGACTGTAAGAAACTTTGCTAGTACATGTCAACTCACACTTGTTTACTTCCTCAATATTTCTTCCCATCAATGCAATACAATCATTTAGCAAAGAATGTGGAGGTGTGATTTCTTTTCAATGTTCACTGATGTGGATTAAGCAGTCGGGCCGGTTCTACAAGCTTTTGTTCAAAGCAAAGGCCAGTTGCAATGACATTACACATCCAGTGCACAATGTTACTGTAAAAAGCAGTCAAGAATTTTTAAAGCTCTTTCTGCTAATGTTTTTTTCTTGCTTGCTTGCATTTTTGTGTGGAAAAGACTATGTTTGTAATGCGTTTGAAAAGAGATGCAATGAAGTGAATGAAGACCGATTCTCTTTCTCAATATTATGCATGTTGCAAACTGACAAATTTAATATGAGGGGCTATATTTTTCATCATATATCAAAACTACATCATATATCAGTATGTTGATATTAAGTTGTTCATATACACTTGAAGGCAGAAGCAGTTTAACCAATTATGGGGCCCTAGCATTGAAATTCAAAACACTCTCTTTCTCTATAGCTGTTTTTCTTTTTCTCTGTAGATCTTCAGTTTGAAATAAACTGCATGTTAAACCATGTATTTTAAGTGGAACCTTTATCTTCTTAATGTAAAATTAAATACATTCAGTTGCACCAATGTGCAGTTAATTAGCCATATTTGTGAATCTTAAAGCCATATCTGTAATTGGTTAAGTCCGCCCCTGCATGAATGCAAAATTATTAGCAGCCATGTGAAACAGTAATTCTTTTTCCAATATTTATTATAAATCTTTAACAGAGCAAAGACAATTTTCACTGTATTTTCTAGTATATATATTTTTTTCTACCAGAGAAAGTGCTATTTCTTTTAGTTTGGCTGGAATATAAACACTACTGGTCAGAGGTTTGGGGTCAGTTTTTTTTTTTTTTTTTTGAGAAAATTATTGTGTTATCAAGACGGCATTTATTAGATGTAAAAAAAAAAAAAGTTAAATTGTTAGATATTTGTTAAAATAACTGCTAAAATAACTGCTTATGGTATGTAGTTTCAAATTTAAATATTACTCCAGTCATTTGCTTTTATTACTATTACATTAATAATAATAAAAAAATATTATTGATAGTAGTAATCATAATTATTATTAATATTACAATTTGTTACTCATATTTACAATTATAAATATCACAGTTTTACAATTTGTACTGTATCTTTGATTAATAAATGCAGCTTTGGTGAGCAACATTTAAAAATCCTTCTAACCCCGAACTTTTGACCAGTAATATATAATATTTATTTATTCATTTTCTTTTCAGCTTAGTTCTTTTATTAATCAGGGGTCGCCACAGCGGAATAAACCAACAAATTATCCAGCATGTTTTACGCAGCAGATACCTTTCCAGCCACAACCCAACACTGGGAAACACCCACACACTCTTAGTTTATTTATTTGACCTGTAGCACGTCTTTGGACTGTGGGGGAAACCGGAGCACCTGGAGGAAACCCAGGCAAACATGGGGAGAACATGCAAACTCCACACAGAAATGCCACCTGACCCAAGCTGGGCTCGAAGGCCATTGTGGTACCCACTGTGCCAATATATACTAAAAAAGTAAAGTTTTTTAAGGTCAATATTATGATTATTGTTAGATTTCTTTTTATTGGCTACAACACAAACAACTTTTATCCAGTAACTTGCCTAACTTAGCGTATAGTCAACCAAATAATGATTAAAATATTATGTGCTGTCATAAGTTAAATAAAAACTTGTTCTATAGTAAAATGCTCTCTCTCTATTAAACAGCAATTGGCAAATATAAAAATAATGATAATTTAAGGCTTAATTTAAGAATAATTTAAGAATTTTGCCTTACATATGCCTTGTGTTGTATAATAATTGTGCCAAATTTATAAGATGAAATAAAGTTACATTAAATCTTAAAATAGTCTGGAATGACATCTTTTAAAGCAGCACTGCAGCCACTGAATTATAGCAAATATAAAAAAGTGCCATATTTGGGCTGAACAATATACCATTTAAGCATCAATATCGCAATGTGTGTATCTGCAATATCACTGGATTAGAATATTTATTAAAGATTAAAAGATTATTAAATATTATTTTTTAAAGATTAAAATATAATAATGGCCATGATCTTTTACATTTGATTGATTGCTCGATTTCTGTACTTGGATACTGTTACACTCCCCAGAAAACCACAAGGCACTGTTTATTTTTACTTTTATTTTTGCTGTCATATTTACATTGTAGTTTATTGTAAGGCAGATGAACTTCGTAGAAAAAGACTTGATCATCTCGAGTCGATCTAAATTGATGAAATCTTTCCAAATAGACCTATTCAAAACATCTGGTGAAATTAAATTCATATTGCAATATACAGTTAGTCAGAATTATTAGCCCCCCCCCCCTTTTATTTATTTTTTAAATATTTCCCAAATGATGTTTAACAGAGCACAGACATTTTCAGAGTATGTCTTATAATATTTTTTCTTTTGGAGAAAGTATTATTTTATTATTATTTTTATTTCGGCTAGAATACAAGCCGTTTTTAATTTTTTTCTGAACTATTTTAAGGTCTATTTTAATTATTTTATCGTTATACAATAACTTGCCTAATTACCCTAACCTGCCTAGTTAACCTAATTAAATTAGTTAAGCCTTTAAAAGCTTTACTTTAAGCTTTAAAGTAACTTTACTTACAACTTTAAGCTGTATAGAAGTGTCTTGAAATATATCTAGTAAAATATTATTTACTTTCATCATGGCAAAGATAAAATAAATCAGTTATTAGAAAATTGTTATAAAAACTATTTTTTTAATCAATGTTTTGAAATGTGTTAAAAAAAATCTGCTCTTCGTTAAATAGAAATTGGGGAAAAAATAAACAGGGGGACGAATAATTCAGGTGGGCTAATAATTTTGACTTCAACTGTATATTGCAGCAAAACAATTTTGAAATTTAAAAATAAAAATATCTCACAGCCCTATGCCATACCGTACACTTTATTAACCCGTAATAAATACAACATCATTCTATATTTGCAAAATTATATATTAGATTAATAAAAAATGATATAAATCAAATATGCAATAACATCATGATTAAAGTGGATTGGAAAAAAGTGGATGTGTGTAGCTGTTCTTACCTGTTTGAAGTCTGAAGAGAAACTGACAGCTGCTCTGATCGAGGAGAGGAGAAAATCTTTGCATGTGTGATTTACAGATCACCGCCTATTTTCAAACAAAAACAATGAGATGGGAGGGATAAACAAGAAACGTTTTGGACGTGCGAGTTACTGATTTGCTGTTTTTTTTCTTCCTTGTTCCTGAAGAACATCATGGAACATTTTGAAAATAACAGAGAAATTAGCTGCTTTTTTTTTCAGTTTTGATGCCAGTGGCACATTTAGCAAAGGTGGCTTTTTGCAACATTAATGCATAAATCAACATTGATGTATAAATCAAAACATTAAAATTGACGTGCAAGTGGGCGAGTCAGGTGTGTAACTTCAGTTCACCTCCACTGACTAAACACAAAAACAGGACTGACAAGCAGCTCTTTTTACAAAAACATTCTTTTACTTTCATTTTATTCACTTCACAAATGTCGCAGTCATGTAAGACTTCCTGAAAGTCCACATTCATGCCATATGAATGATAAATGATTTTTGATATGGGTATATCACCACATGTGCTTTTAATTTCAGTTTTACACTTTTCAACAGTCTGGATGTGTAAATGTACAGTACATGCAAATATGACCTGACCTCATGTATATCTCTATCACATTCTTTCATATTCACAAATAAAGATGATTTTGGGTGTAATCTGAGAGCTCCCTCATCCCCTCATCTATCTATCTATCTATCTATCTATCTATCTATCTATCTATCTATCTATCTATCTATCTATCTATCTATCTGTCTGTCTGTCTGTCTGTCTGTCTGTCTGTCTGTCTGTCTGTCTGTCTGTCTGTCTGTCTGTCTGTCTGTCTGTCTGTCTGTCTGTCTGTCTGTCTGTCTGTCTGTCTGTCTGTCTGTCTGTCTGTCTGTCTGTCTGTCTGTCTGTCTGTCTGTATAGTCTGTCTGTCTGCCTGCTTGCCTGCCTGCGTTCACTCACTCACTCACTCACTCACTCACTCACTCACTCACCGGTCACTTTATTAATTACACCTTACTAGTATTGTGTTGGACCCCATTTTGGCATCAAAACTGAATTAATCCTTCAGGATATAGATTCAACGAGGCACTGGAAATATTCCTTAGAGATTTTGGTCCATATTGACATGATAGCATCACGCAGTTGATGCAGATTTGTCAGCTGCACATGCATAATGAGAATCTCCCATTCCACCACATCTCAAAGGCTCTATTGGATTGAGTTTGATGACTGTCGAGGCCATTTGAGTACAGTGAACTCAGTGTCATGTTTAAGAAACCAGGCTGATATGTGCTTTATGACATGGCAAGTTATCCTACTGAAAGTAGCAAACATAGGAGGGGTAAAATGTGATCATAAAGGAATGGACATGGTCTGCAACATTACTCAGGTAGCCTGTGGCGTTGACATGATGCTCAGTTAGTACTAAATGGGTCCAAAGTGTGCCAAGAATATATTCCCACACTATTACGCCACCACCATCAGCCTGAACCATTGATACAAGGCAGGATGGATCCATGATTCTATGTTGTTGGCGCTAAATTCTGACCCCACCATCCGAAAGTCTAAGCAAAAATCAAGAATCATACAGGCTGGCAACATTTTTCCAATCTTCTATTGTCCAAATTTGGTAAGTCTGTGAGTATTATAGCCTCAGTTTCCTGTTCTTAGCTAATAGGAGTGTCTCCCGGTGTGGTCTTCGGTTTGACATGTTGTGCATTCAGAGATGCCCTTCTGCATATCTCGGTTGTAACGAGGGGTTTTTTTTTTTTTTTTAGTTACTGTTGCCTTTCTATCAGTTCAAACCAGTCTGGCCATTCTCCTCTCTGACCTCTGGCATCAACAAAGCATTTGTGCCCATAGAACTGCCGCTCACTGGATATTTTCTCCTTTTTAAACCATTCTCTGTAATTCCTAGAGTTGCTTGTGCGTGAAAATCCCAGTAGATCAGCAGTTTCTGAAATACTCAGACCAGCCACCAACAACTATGCCACATTCAAAGTCACTTAAATCCCCTTCCCCATTCTGATGCTCAGTTTGAACTGCTGCAGATCGTCTTGAACATGTCTACATGCCTAAATGCTTTGAGTTTCTGCCATGTGATTAGAAATTTGCATTAAAAAGAAGTTGGACAGGTGTTGTAGATCAAAGAATGGGTGTTGTTTAATAGTTTTAGGATCACTTTGATTAATGGTTTTGATTAATTTAAAATGTTGATTATTTTATATGTATATATATATATATATATATATATATATATATATATAGATATATATATATATATATATATATATGTATATATATTTATATATATAAACACAAGCACAACCCTACTTTATTACATAAATTGAAAGAATATTTTTAAAACTGATGAATAAAATGAAAAAGCAGTCCCAAACTAGTTTTTGTGAATACAATGTGCAGTGTAGAGAATTAGAACAGTGGTATTAGCCACCACATTTGTTTAAAAACCCAAAAACAAGTTAGATAGGATACAGTGTGCGCTGCCAAATATTTGTGTGCTATTGAAAAGTGCTTTGAGCACATTAAAAGCTGAAAAGTTGGGAAAGTTTTTTTGTTGAGACATTTTTTTTCATAACAAATGACAAAAATGTTGTGCTTGCGCTTGTGGCAAGCCGCCAGTTCACGTGCTGGGCTGCTAAAAAGTGTCAGGACCTCACTTTGTGTACTGCTGCAGGCTCTGTAATGCCACTCAAACTGCTTACATTTTGTCTCTTGTTGCTTTTATTTTTTGACAATCACAGCTGGCACATCTCATCTGAAATGTTCATTAGCAGAATAAGGTTTTCTCAAGCATAAAGCTTATCTGAAAGGAGCACAAACAGCTTTTACACACTCTTTCAAAATTCAAAAGCATCATGATGCTACCCATAATGGGCTATAAGCACACACACTTTTAATATTCAGCCAGCCAGTCCCAGGGCTTCCCATGAACTCCCATTAACATGAATGTCTTATCATTACAAAATTGCCACAATATAGATCTTCACTGCCTGATAGATATACGAAGTTGGTGTCAGATCAGACAAGAAGCACTGCAATAAATTTCCCCCAGCATGTCTTTAAAATGTAACAATTTATTTTATCCCATCATTTTCAATGGAGTTTCTGTGCTGGCCTACTGCTCCTGCCAATGCTAGTGGTTACACATTCTTTCAACTCGTTTTAAGCTTGAACAACTAAATGAATGCCAAAGTCTATTTAATTGAATGTATTGTAATAACATTACAACATTAATGCTGTAAAAGCCTTGTTAAATTGAAAATAGTCACATTAACCTTTCACCGTAAGTGTATAATTGGCTGAAAAATACTAGCTGTGTATATAGACCACTAGGTCACGTATGACCCACCAGTTGAAAAACGCTGCTCTAGATACATAAGAACCTGTTATAGTCCAGTAAAGACTTTTAGAGACTAAATTTGGGTGGAGGGAAGAAACAAGCGTGAATCCTAGCTAAATCAAGCGTGGAGAAAAACTTGCCAATTGCTATGCTCAAATGGTGGTGTGTTCTAACTCATTTTCCAGGTAATAATAGGGGCAATTATAACATTAAAATTTACATTACAATGTTGACCAGTCCAAGGAAGCAGTTTTTGGTTTAAGAAATGTTTCAAGATTAAATATCTTGAATTACAGGTTGTTGACTGTTTTAATATATGCAAAGAGTCCTATAAAAGTCCCAAGTATAATGTTTTCTACTAAAAGATTGCTTGGTGTCAACAGTCTATTGTTCAGGATAAAAATCGAGGTGCATAGAAATAATGCAAGTGTGAAACGTTGATGCTTTATTTCATTTCTGCCATTAGTGTGTTTTACAAACATTTTGTCAATTTGCAAAGGCCCAGTATTTTTAAGAAATGCTACGTAATATCCTTAACATTACTATAAATTCACACAACGAGACCTGAATCCGCAACAATGCATTTAAATAGCAGGAAACATGGCCAAAACCAGAGCTTTCAGCAGCTGTCTTTATTGCAATAACACTCTCTCTAACATACACACACAAACACACATCATAAATACAACTGACATCCGGTATACAATCAAAAAATGTACTTTAATCAACACACACACACACACACACTAAAGACTGACAGTCGCACGGTCATAAGCAGCATTCTTGTATTCAACTTCAATGTTATGCCTGCTAAATCTGCCATACCCAGTCTGCAAAAACAAAATACGACTTTAACAGTGGTGGTTATAAAAAAAGCATTAAAAAAAGTAAGAGGTGTGACAAAGACTGTTGTGGTTTGGAGATTATTATTGAGGACATTCAAATGGGGGCTTTTGTTGAGTGAGATTGGCGCAGGCACCTGTATGGATCTCACAAAAGCAGGTACTTCTCATTTCACTGTTGTTGTTTTCGTTTCGCTTGCTAAAGGCTTGCATCAGCCCTGTTTTGGCCCAAACAAACCAAACAGACAAGGTTTCTATGCACAAGACGTGTACTGATATCAATACAACATGTCCAACCAAAGGCTTTACATTTCGGTTGAGCCTCAAAGTTGCAACACAATTCAAGGACACCGGGAACTATTGAAAAAACAATCAACAAGACAGCTGTAAGCCGTCCCGAATGGATAGGAGTTGTGACATGATCACATTTCAAGACATTTGAACATTCCTGTAAAGAGCACATACATTGTTAATGAATAAATCGCTTACTATTAGCACACCCATACTAGGTGGTTTGCATGCTAACAATGCTGGAAAACGAGTTCGTAAATAGCAAGGAATCTTTTGTTTTTATAAGAACTTTCGATTTGAATGCACCCTGAGTAAACCTGAAATGCATTTCAATGGTTTCTGATTTTGTCAGGTGTATCTGTCTGCGGACTGCAAGATTGGGGCATATCTTGTAGCTAGTTAGCGAGACATAACTAGCAGTTATCGAGATCCCGTTGAACCATGCGAGATATCACAATGAGATGTTGTTGGCAAGATGGTGGAACAGCACATTTTCTTCAAAGGTTTTCATGAGTTTTCTCCAAATTTATCCACAATCAATTTATTAGATTTTTTTTTCTAATCATTCATTTGGCAACTCCACCCTGCTGTTCCACTCGCTGACTTCTTCATCTGTTTTGTCATGATAGTTAAGGCTGATTTATACTTCTGCAACAAGCGCACGCATATGCTCTGGCACAGCCTTCGCATTGTCGCATAGCCCTCGCCATGGCTGTCGCGCACCTCTCAAAAAATTAAACTACACATTTCAACAACACATAGTATAGCTGGTCGGCGTGGTAGGCAGGACCGAGAGCTGTGCGAACTTGTTGGGGCGAGTGTTTGCAAGTGTGAAGTCCTGTGAAGGAGCTCTAGATGGAAAGTTATGTTTTGTGTTTACCTTATGATTAAAGTTGTTAAACGTCAGCTGGTTCCCACCTCAAAATTGACCGGGTTTGAGCCACTTTTAAATTAAAGTAGCATTCAGAAAAAAACAAAACACCAGCAAAGAAACTCGACACAGAAACCTCACTGCCAGCTAGCGTTTCAGAAGTCTTATTGCTAGGCATAGGACGATAACCGGCTTTAAGGTATACCGTGATTTTGAAAAGTCAAGATTTTGAAACTGTAAAAAAATCTGTTATACCAATCCTAAGGTATTTGTAAGTTTTGTTTTTTTACTTTTTTTTTTTATTATCATTTTGACTTCTTTTAGGGCAACAATAGAAAAGGACCCTCCATATCACAAGTTACTGGTCAGTCCATGATTTAGGAAACATCTGAAAAACAAATCTCGTACAAACCATGCATCAATAAAACATGCAGCATGCTGTAGAGCTGAATAGTGCAGAGGCTTGCTTTATATCCAAAGTAAAGAAAGTTATCCAAAGATGCCTATTCAAGTTGAAAAGAAATCTATTTTTTTTAAACAAATTAAGACAGTAAAAGACCATGACTTATTTAAATTATTTAGCCTGACATTTATTGTTTCAATATATTTTAAATGTTAAAAAAAAAAAAATAAATAAAAAAAAAATATATATATATATAGGGTAAAAAACATATTTTTAGAGCAGTAATTACAATACTGTTATATCGGTTATCATACTGTCAGAATATTATATTGCCATGCCTAGTTATTCCAGAGCAACACAAACAGTGTGCAGAAGTATAAATGCTCGGTAATGCGTAAGGCATGGGTTGTGGGCCACGCCAATCACTCGACGCAGAACTATAAACCAGGCTTTAGCCTACTTGGCTTCGCCCCCTGTGGTTGCAAATTACAATAAAATGGTGAGCACGTCAAGTATGAAAGCCTCTGCAACTCTTGGCTGTACGTTAATAACTGTGATGGTTGGGTTAAGGATTGGGGTAGTTGTAGACATCAATAACTATGATGGTTAAGTTTAGATTTGGGAAAGGTGTAAGCATTAATAATGATAATGGTTGGGTTTAGGTTTGGAGTGGGTGTAGGCATTAATAACATACTACAAGTTACGCCCCCTAACTGTGCGTTTGCACCAAAGGCAGTAAGAGTGTCAAAGTTCACTCTGGCCGCCCTGGCGACTATGCTGTCTGCCTTCAGCTCCGGCGGCGAGAGCGTCAAAATTTGCTACATTGATCTCGTATTTAAAAAGGCCGTTGCAGCATATCATATCAGTTACATTACCGCATAAAACATGCTTTCTAGCGTCAAAATGTTGCCTACTTTTTATCAATTTCAATTAACTATGGAAGATCGAGTTGCATGTGGTGTGGCTTTGCTCCACTTAATTACTTGTCCATATGTCTGAAATAACCTGAAGCAGCAATACTGTTTTGTATTGTCGCATTAGATTCCCTTTTTTTAAGGAAAAAAAAAATTATAACATTAATGGACATCAGTAACTCGGCAGTAACGTTTTAAATGTATGTTCCTGTACATTGCAAATAATTGAAAATCAGGCAACCGCAATAATCAAACCCTTTGGGAACAACTGTGGTCATAACCAAAGTTCACAGGCTGTGTTCTCTAAAGTCCTCTCAAGCGGTGGACTTCTACATTCTGATTGTTTGCCGCCAAACCGCAACATAGCTCATTACCATAAAGTTGACTTGAATTCAACTCTCCGTGACAGGCGGAGACGCACCATGCTGCTCCTCGCAGCTTTTCACCACCGGCTCCCAGTGAAAATCAATGACTTCCTGCTACTTTGACGCTCTCGTCGCTTTCAGTGTGAATGTACAGTAAGGCCCCTTTATGTTCTGTCCCTGTCTTGCAGTCTGCAGACTCTTCTCGATTTTGTGGCCACAGAAACGATCAATTCCTTGTTATTTAATACTGCACTACATGTTGTTAGCATGCTACATGTCGTTAGCATCCATAACCACTTTTTAATGTTTATCTTTTGAAATTAAATGGATCTTAATGTAAAATATCATCAGTCAATGCATTATTACTTATGAAATAAGCGGGTAAACAAAGTCGATAGAAAAACAATTTGCTTCTAGGTGCTGATTTGACAAGTTTCAGAGCGATCAGATGTTTTAGTGACCTGCGTCTGTGACTCGTGTTTGGATAGTCACTCTTCTTGGTGGGTTCTGCTCTGTGCTGCGATTGGCTATTAGCTCCTGCAGCTGTAGAGCGCCTCCACCAATGAAACAAAAGGCTGGGCAAATGGGGGCGGAGCAATCAACAGTCCCCTCCCACAACACTCTAAGAGAGTGAGCATCGTAGAAAGTGAGTCGTCCCTTTTCAAAGTCCAGACACAGCCCGAGACGAGGTGGTAACGGGGCAGTGAAAGGTCCAGTGGAGCTGTTAGATCCGCCACACTTGGGAAGTAAGATCTTGCCCATGCCCATTGTGAGGAAACAGAAAGGAGGAGGACAGTCTTGGGCGTCCTCTGCGCCACTGTCGTGTCCACTGTCTGGATCATACCTACAGAGAAATCAAAATTAAAACATCAAATCACATTTACTAAAAAAAATCATTCTCAATCTTTAGATTTACAACAGAAGATCTGGACTCTGCACTGTTTATTTTGTTTAATATCATGTTTCTAAAACTAGCTCTCTTGAACTCTTAAAAAATCAACCGAGGCTCACTGGAAATATGGCCTACATTTCTATAAAGCTGAAATGTATTGCTCTAGTTTCACTTCTATACACTTTTATTTGACATCCATATACAGTATGTGGTATAGTATAAGCACAAGACAAGGCCATATTTAAATTATCCAAACAAGTATGTTTACAAATCATGCCCTATAGTAAAAGGGTTTTGCAGTCTTCGTATGGTATTGTTTAAGTTTCCATTAAAAAAAATAAGCCTTTATATATCACTAATCTGTTCCTGCAATCATTATTTGTATAAAAAGGAACAAGTATCATTGTTACTTCCTATATTGGTATTTTTACATAAAAACTAAATTTAAATGTAATCATATGTTCATTTGATCAAGTTTAGTTCCATGTACAGTTGAAGAATTATTAAACCAATTTCTGTTTACCTGACTAATAATATTGACCTTAAAATGTTTTTCAAGACAATAAAAAAATGCTTTATTCTGCCAACTGCCAATCTGACTTTCTCCAGAAGAAAAATATTTTAGGAAATACTGTGAAAAATTCCTTGCTCTGTTGAACATCATTTGGGAGGGCTAGTGATTTTGTTGTACTGATGTATTTCCAAGGAACCAGGGTTGTTGTTTTTTTTCTCACCGTGGACTTGCCATGTCTTGTGGTAGATGGAACCACTCTTGGAGCTTTGCTTCAACACCCACTCCCACCTACACACATATAAAACAGCTCTTTAAGGCATAAACATTAAATCATTTTAAAATATTTTTTTTAGGAAATTAAAAATAATAACATAATATACTTCAAATTCATACTTCATAATATTCTTTAAAAAACAGCTTTCATTTTTTATTTAATTTGTTTGTGTGATTTATAGTGAATGTGCAAAATCACTTCCTGACATAAGAGTACTTAAAAATGTAAATACCCTGGTGCACAAGGTAGCGTTGCACAACTTTACACTTTTCATACTGGCTTTCAACCACTCTTTGGTCTTTTGCTTCTTTTACTTGTTCTCAGGTAACGTGTTTTGTTGAGCATAATGATCATTGATATTTATTAAATATTTAATTTATGTAACTACGTACACTGATTCTGCACATTTGACTGATGTTTTGCCTTTACTTCCTATATTGTATAAACGTATTGTACGTTATACTTTTAGAATGGCCATTATAGATTATTTAACCTAAGAATCAGCAAAAGAGACAGGGTATGTTTTGTATTTTTCAAAGAAAATAAAAAGAGGCAGTTATGTTATAGGATCCGTTTTGTTATAAATATGCTATGAAGATGACGCTTGTATAAATTTGCAGCCACACAATGCCTTAACATTTTTGGTGTCTGTTAAGTTACTAATATCAAAATGAAAAAAGGCAGTTCCTTATATCATGTTTTCCTTTTATTGTTAAGAAAGTGAAACAACGTTGCCAGGGTAACGTGAATAATGTTATACTGTTCCCTTTGAAGATTTACCCAACGTGTCCTCAGGAGTTTGTTTTCCATATTAAACTTGTGAAGTATGAACTTAAAGAAAGGATGCGAGACTGAACTCTCAGAGGCGAATGTCTGCAGTCAAGCCTCCGTTTTGAGGACTGCACGGGAATACATTTCCGAATAAAGCGCGGGAGCGGTCAGTAACTGGTTTAATTTTGGACTGGAGCGGGCCGTCTGGCAATATCGCTCCCGACTCCTGAGCGAGCGAGCATGCGTATATATGTGTGTGAATGAGACAGCTTGATGCTGTGTGTGTGTGTGTGTGTGTGAGTGCATGCGCGCGCAAATGAGAGGTGTGTGTGTGTGTTTGTGCGCACGAATAAGAGAGAGAGCTTTGTCTGTGTGTGTGTGCTTGGTGCTTATGTGTGTGTGTGTGCGTGTTTATACAGACAGCTTGTTATAGGCTGCCTGGACTCTGAGTAGCTGGGTGGTTTTCAGTTTTGCTCTTTAGCAGGATCGGGTGTGGCGGGTAGAAAACGGGGCAGGGCAGGCAGCGGGACAACAAATGCTGAATATAAGCAGGAGAGGTTGGGTTCGGGCTAAAACCTGGTGGCAGCGGGATTCAAAATTTAGTCCCACGCAGATCTCTACCTACGTTTTTAGATGTCTTCATTTCCCCCCATCCACACTGACACAAAGCAGCAATGTTTTAAAACAAAAACAGCCTTTTCAGCATTTCCAAAACATTCTGTTTTCAGGGCTCGAAAACTCTGGGGTAGTGTGGGCGGAAGCATAACCGTAGCAAACTTATGCGTTTTAAAACTAAAACATGTAAGTGTAAACAGGGCCTAATTGTTTTAACCTTCGCAAACACCATTAAATCTTATTTGATCTGCAATTCTTGTGTTCTCTTATACACTCTTATTTACTTTTATTTGCTCAAGTGGTGTTTTACTGTAAGGTCATCAGCTCAAGGCTGGTGAACAAATGCGCCAATCTTACAAAATATTTTTGTTTTTAAATGACGCTTTAATTCATCAATGAAAAGTGTGAGAAAAAAGTATTTTACTCTATTATTCCATTCTGCTAGTCCTTCACTTCTTCACAAAACACAAATGGCTGAAGTATTTTTTTTAGCTTAATGTCTCCTTTCTAAATTATAGTATTCATTTTTTAAAAGTAAAAAATATCTTACTGACTCCAAACTTCTAAAAAAGTAGCATATGTTTACCTTAACCAGGTAGGATCCAGGCTCTACTGAGCATGCCCAGTAGTGTCGTCCCTGTGTGATGGAAACATCAGCTACGAGAAGGTCAGATGTGAGATGGCAGGAGGTCAGGGCCCTATCTGCAGCCTGCAAGAGCGTCATCCCAGGAACGCTGCGAGCATACGTCTGCCCCTTCCCTAGTGCCACCCGCTCCGCATGCAGACCCCAGCGCGAATCCAGGCAGAACGACAACACTGAGATTGAGGTATGCGGGAGTGGAGGAGAGAGTTGGAAAGGCCAGGTCGTAGGGAGCAGAACACGAAACGAAACGAAGATGAGGGAGTCAAAGTGAGGGAACGAAACATGTAAAAAGGGAATAGAAAAGAACAGAGCGGGGATATGTATGGATAAGCATAAAAAGGAAGAAGAATGGGATTGTAAATTTGGAGAAAAGAGGGGGAACAAAGAGGACAGCAGGAACATTGTACATATTCCAGGACTCTAGGATTAAGAGGAGATCAAGCAGCTTAAATATTCCATTTTGAATAGGAATACAAGTCACAGAAAGAGCAGCGATAACAGGAGCAAAGGAAGGAGGAGAATAACGGGAATCACAAGGAGAAATAATACAGAAAGAGAAGTAAAAAAATAAAGACATTAAAGAGTTGTGGATATGCATGGTGAAATGTACTACCATTAAAGCAAAATTGTATGAGAGAAAAAATAGAGAGAATGTGGTATGCATATAATAGCACAAAACAAAAACAAGCTCAGTTTGTTGTTCTAGAATTGTGGATGGATGGATGGATAGATGGATGAGTGGAACAATAAAACAACCAATAGCTAAATTAATAAACAGATAGTGGAAGGAATGTGGGGTTAAAAAAGAGATGCATGAGTTAATAAACAAACAGAAATGTAACACAATAAGATGATGACGGATAAACAATTGAGTCAACAAACCCATGTGGGGCATGTCTGAATGAGCATTTGAATTAAGAAGTAGATGAATGGATGAATGGATGGTTAAGCATTTGGGTGAATCAACAAAAGTATGGATGCAAAAAATGAATTGATAAGCATTTTAGTGATTTGACGAGGATGGATGGATGGACGGATGAATGAGCATTTGAGTGAATTGACAAGAAGATGGAGGGATGGTTAAGCACTGGAGTGAATTGAAAAGAAGATGGATGGACGAATGGATGGATGAGCATTTGAGTAAATTGACAAGAAGTTGGATGGATGGTTGAGCATTTGAGTAAATTGACGAGATTGATGGATGGATGGATGGATGAATGAGCATTTGAGTGATTTGACAAAAAGTTGGATGGATGGATGGATGAGCATAGGAGTAAATTGAAGTGAAGATGGATGGATGGATGGATGGATGGATGAGCATTTGTGTAAATTGACAAGAAGATGGATGGATGGACGGATGGATGGATGAATGAGCATTTAAGTGACTTGACAAGACGTTGGATGAATAGATGCATGGATGAACATTTGAGTGAATTGATAAGATGGATGGATGGATGGATGGATGGATGGATGGATGGATGGATGGATGGATGGATGGATGGATGGATGGTTAAGCATTTGAGTAAATTGACAAGAAGATGGATGGAAAGATGGATGAGCATTTGAGTGATTTGACAAGTTGGATGGATGGATGAATGGATGGATGGATGGATGGATGGATGCACGGATGAGCATTTGAGTAAATTGAAAAGATGATGGATGGATGGATGGATGGATGGATGGATGGATGGTTAAGCATTTGAGTAAATTGACAAGAAGATGGATGGAAAGATGGATGAGCATTTGAGTGAATTGACAAGATGAATGGATAAACAAGCGAGTATTCTAAATATATATACAGATAGACGAAAAATTGAAGTAAAAATGGATGATTAAATAAGGATGAATGAATGCGCAAACAAAGAGATGATTGAATCTATGGAGGCATGAATGAACAAGTAAACAACAGTCTGTTTGAATCTGTAGATGGATGGATGAACAAGTGTGAGAACAAACAGGCAATAATGAGTCTATGAATCAATGGACGATCATCTAAGCGGACAAACAATAATATGAATAGATCTGTGGATAATCTCATGAATAGAAACACTGAGATATTAAAGATCAGCAAAAATTAACAAATTATATGAATGAATGATTGGACAGATGGAATAAGCCTTAAAAGTGATGAAAACTGTAAGTTAAAGAGGTACAATAAGTGAAAAGGGAACAAAATAAAAAAAAGTTCAATAATGTGAGGAAATTGGGAAGCTTGGCGGAAATAAGGGAGTCTCTGAATAGCTGATATTTGGACGTGGTCTGTGCATTAGTGTATGGATGTGTCTTACCTGGTGCAGGTGTTGTGTGTAGATACACCTCCTCACTGTACTCTCCAAACCCTGCCTTATTACATCCTCGAACCCTCAGAACGTACACACTGTCCATCTCCAGCTTGTCAATCACGGCACTGGTCCCGCCCACATCATCCAGACGCTGCCAAGAACAGTGTGTCCCATTACTTCCTGAGCTTCCTTCAGACCACACCCTGCCCCACACTGCTCCAGCTCCACCAACTTTCCTCTGAAACTCTACTGAGTAGTGCCAGGCAGGGGCCGAGTCTTGTGGGAGACGCCAGCACAGATACAGCTGGTCATAGGCTAGGGTCTTCTGAGTGTCAATCACAGGAGCCAATGGGGCTGCAGAAGAAAAATGAGAGGTTGGAAATTGAATGCGAAGTCCAATGGAGGTGTGCTTAAAAGCTAGGTTTACCCCAAAATAACAAATTCTGTCATCATTTACTCCACAAACCCTTGAAACGTTCATTTTTTTCAGAAACCAAATGAAGATATTTTGCATAATATAATATACATATTTCTGTCCTAAGTCTATTCATTCAAAATGTTGATACTTCAAATGTTTTAAATTCAAATGAATTAAATACTTCTGATAAAAGACATTCCCTTTAATTGATTAACACACTTAAATATATTATATGGATATAAACAACAATCCCAAACTGGTCTTTACTAATTGTCCTTATTCACCATCCCTAATATCCAGATTTAATATCAAATATCCAGATTTTATTGACTGATCTATCCAATATTTTAATTTTTTTTTTTTTGGGTACACATATCAAGACATATCAAGACCTCAATTTCCATTCACTTCTATTATTTTTTCACTACGTAGTTATAGGAACTCGGGTACAGAAACTAGTCACCAGACCAATTCCTGGACAACATTTTCCCACCAGGGCATTTTCTTGGTTGCATTCACACAGTCACAAGGATCTGTGAAGTGATGTAAGAAGGCTGACAGTGATATAAACATAGTATTCAACAAAATCAACAACTAGAGGATCAAGATCACACTGTGATTGCTGAGATTTTATTGTATGCTGTGGGTTTCATAATAGCTGAGATTGAATGTAGACAAGTTATGTGCCTGAAAGAGGGTGGCGCAGTGAGGAGCGCTGTCACCTCACAGCAAGAAGTTTGCTGGTTCGAGCCTCGGCTGGATCAGTTGCCATTTCTGTGTAGAGTTCTATGTAGAGGGATGACGTGGGTCTGCCCCCCTCTCCCTTCTTCTCTGGGTGCTCCAGTTTACATCCCCCCCCCCTTCTCTCTCCATATACATACATTTAGTGTATACCGCAAAATGTAAATAAGTGTGCGTGGCCAGCTCAAGTGCACCTTGCTTTATATATTTAACAAGAAGTGATTACTTACTTTCAAAATTTATACAACAATTGTCATTGTGCATATTTAGTATTTTTGAAGAGAAAAAACTTGTCCTGTTACTTCCTTGTGATATAATTTATAATCTGTGGGAAGATGCTACATGAGAAATGTTTATAATAATAAGGTCTGTCCACATAAAACTGTTAAATGTGACATGTAGTGGAATGTGTTGTTCATCTTAAGTCATACTTTGTTTTATGTATAAGGTTTAAAAAATATACAAAATAATCAAATAAGATCCTTTTCTTAAACATTCAAGCTTATTTATTATATAGAGGCCCTTTTGTACAGTTTCTGGAATTACTAGCTTAATAAAAAAAACATATTGTGAAAGGTATCATTAACTTGAAATAAAATCAATAAGGTTGGCCATACCGCCAAGCTCTAACCAAGACTGAGAAAAGATGAAGATAAAAGGTGAATGCTGCTAACATTAGCTTTTTAGCTAAACATATATTTCTGGTTATACGAAATGTATAAAATGCCTTTCGTTTTGCATGTGTTCACGCAATCAGCTGACATTAGCCTTACTGTAGTTCCTATTGTGCTGAAATATACTCTTATCTGCAGTGGAAGATCATGTAGGCATCACAAAAGATGTTCCTTTAACTAAAATGATTCCAGTTGCTGTGTTGTGAACATGCCAAAAAGCAGGAAACTTCCGTCAGCAGTTAAAGGAACTGTGAAATGGTTCCTCTGGTCTGAAAAACTCCATAGTTGTACAACCATGGTTTAAAGCACAGGTAGACCTTTTCAGTCTAAAATCAATAATACAATTATTAGCTGTCAGAATCTGCATCTCTTTTTTTTTTAAGTATTGTAAAATGATGTACTTTTAATTCATAGAAGGCACTGAGGTCCACCCTATTACACCACTTAAATATGTCTGGGCTAGCCACTGCCAAAAAATGAACACATTTTCTAATGGGTTTGGAGCAACATGAGGGTGAATAAATGATGACAGAAATTATATTTAGCAGGGAGCTAACAGCTAGAAAAGCAATTCAAGGTATGTAGGGATATTAAAAATGTAGTATTTATGAAAACCTTGTATAAAGTCCATGCTGCTGAGTGCTTTGAGCTCTCTGGAGACATCCATCTGAAAGTGTCGGAAAGAGGGATCAGCAGAGAGAGAGAAATGCTGCAGATTTTCTATTGCTTTTACCAATCTGAAAAGGAGAAAAATACAAATGTAGAATATAAAGCAGATCTCTATATAAGTGATCATGTCTAACAGTTTTTTATTGTTTATTTTTTAAAAGGTTTTTTTCTAAACACACACAATAGGCTAGTGTTGGATTGGTATTTCTTAAATGTATGTTTTACCGACACATTTACAGAAAACACTCCGTCTGACCTGTTGTGTGTGACTCTGGCAGCCTGAACAAAGCACGACTGGTCAGATTCCTTAAGCAGCTCCTGAGTGTATGTGAGCAGTCCTGCATTTTCCAGCAGACTCTGTTTTTCAGAGAGCTGAGCGTTGAGAGCTGCTGCCCGCTGTGCACGAGACCCTTCCAGACACATAGCCAAAGCCCCCTGACGCTCGGCCAGCACAGCTCGCAGCTCATTCACACACTGAGACAACTGCTCCTTCACCACCGCACTGTTCACCTGAACACAAATGGACAGTGAACATGACAGAAGCAAGTTCCAATTATATATAAGAGTAGACATATTATCCACTTTTAGATATTATTTAAATATGTGAAAGTACCAAGTGTTTAAATATTTACATATTTTAAATGCAGTCATATGTACTTCTGGCTACATATTGCGTGATCTTTAAAAATGTACAGTTGAAGTCAGAATTATTAGCCCCCATTTGATTTTTTTTTGTTTTTGTTTTTCTTTTTTAAATTTCCCAAATGATGTTTAACAGAACAAGGGAATTTCCACAGTATGTCTGTTAATATTTTTTCTAGAGAAAGTCTTATTTGATTTTTTTTTTTGGCTAGAATGAAAGCATTTTTTATTTTTATTTTTTTACTATTTGTTTTTTGATAGTCTACCGAACAAACCATCGATATACAATTATTTGTCTAATTACCCTAACGTGCCTAGTTAACCTTATTAGCCTAATTAAGCCCTTAAATGTCACTTTAAGCTGTATAGAAGTGTCTTGAAAAATATCTAGTCAAATATTTACTGTCATCATGGCAAAGATAAAATAAATCAGTTATTAGAAATGTGTTTAAAGTATGTTTAAAAATGTGTTGACAAAATCTTCTCTCTGTTAAACAGAAAATGGGGGGGGGGGGGGGACAGGGGGGCTATTAATTCGACTTTAGCCCCCCTGTTATTTCTAAACATAATAGTTTTAATAACTGTATCTGGTGTAAAATATAGCTTAAAGGGGCTAATATTATTGACCTTAAAATGTTTTTTTTTTTATCATTATTAAAAAAAGCTTTTATTCTAGCCAAAATAAAACAAATATAACTTTTTCCAGAAGAAAAAATATCAGACATACTGTGAAAATTTCCTTGCTCTCTTAAACACCGTTTGGGAAATAAAAAAAGAAAACTAAATTCAAAGGGGAGCTAGTAATTGTGACATCAATTGTATACTTATAAAAACAGCCTTTTCTTTTATTCAATCTGTATAGTCACACACTCTGGCTCAATTGCCATACCCTCAGCTGTCTTTTCAAACTCTGCAGGGTTGCTTTAAACAGCGGTGTGCTTTACCTCAGTCTGTGCGATGCCACTCTCTACTTGGGTGATCTGTGCCTGCACAGAGTCTTGATTGGCTAAGATGTAGTTCATCTCCTTGGTGATCTTGTCCTGTGATTTGACAACACAGAGAATGAATAAGGAGTTAAACAGACACGCTGTACATTTTCTCCTCAAGGCCAACAGTCATAGAGAGGAAGTCTTTTAGCTTAGAGAGAACACTCCAAATAACTATTTCATACAGGGAAGAAGGGCTTGTTGGGCATATTTACATTGTTTATAAGACTATGCAACTTTTCCCTCTGTCACATGATGCTTTACATAAATTATCAGAGTAATTTTTATTAAACTGTAAGCAAACAGTAATGCGTTTCTAAAAATTGTGCACAACAAGATTGCATTTTTCTCCTCACAGTTCATCGATCCAATATCAAAAAGCAACTTTTTAGAATTAACTTTCAGCAGACAATGTCTTTTTCTCAATATGTGTTCTTCAGTGATCTTGCATCCTTGTGTTCTAACATCATCATCCGCCATGGTTTGGTTACAAAACTCAAGACCATAAGACCATATGAAAATTCCTGGATGTGTTCTTGATATTAAAGTCCAAGAAGTCATTGCGGCTGAATAAAGGAGGTTGGAAGCACAGCGTTTTACACCTGTTTATTATTAAGTTAAGAGATATACAGTAACTTATTTATCTCAGGAGTTTCCCTAAATGAGACGGTGATATTAAACATTAACATGAAAATCTTAATAAAGCCATAAACACATTAAGAGTGTTTATTTGCTGAAATTTGTATTTAAAATCTGATTTATATGTAATGTGCAAAGTATATTTGTAGGGTTTTTGTGCGTGTTATGTATTTTGAAAAGGGGAAAAAACAATAAATCATTGTATGAATGCTGTAATGTTTAAATACTTTTCGGCTAAAAATGCTGCCGGCATGCAACCAAGACCACAGCATCTCAATCCTCACAAGACACATTCTGTGTTCTTCTGATCTCCTGAGTCCTTTCTTGTGAGGTAAACTAGCAAGAACGGTCTCCACGAGAACACAAGTATGTTCTCTGCATCCTTGGAATTGAGAAACAGCCAATGAATTACCCCAAAAACTCAAAACATGTCTTTCAATTGAAATGTTATGAACTCTACTGTAGGAAGAGCAAAATGAAAATAATCTTGAGAAACAAAACAGTGAATTCAAAAGGTCTTTGGCCGCAGATATGCTTGTGTTACTGATGCAACTTTAAATTAAGTGTCACATTATTTTAGTGATTTGACAGGTACTCAGGTTTCACTATGTATATGGAATATTTTCTTTATTATTTCAACCTTATTTCCTTATTATTACATCCCTATTATTTGAATGATTTGTTTCGATTCTGTCGAATGGAAGTTCCCCAGAAGTGCAATCTATAATTTGAAACACTAATGGTGTGTGAAAAAAGGTGGATGACGGTCAGGAATGTGTACCTTTAGAGTCTGGTAAGCCAGCGCAATCGGCATGATCTTGTGTCCACTGTGGGCACGACGGAGTTTACACAGTGAACACAACAGACGCTGACATGACCTACAGTAAAACTGCAGTCTCTCCTGCTCGTGCTCCACACACACCAGCACCTGTGGACAGGACATAAGGTTAGGAGGAAATCTGAATGATCAAGAATGGTCTGAGTTCTGTGGAAGAGAACAATATTTGAATGCTATTTGCATGGGAAACAAAATTATTTCAGCAAAATATCAGCAATTTTAGCTCTGTTTAGTAGAGTTTTATCCATATGTATTTATGCTAAAACTAATAAACTAATAATAAAAGGGATAGTTTACTCAAAAAGAAAAAAAATAATGTCATCATTTACTCACCATTCACTTGTTCAAAACCTAGCCGAGGTTCTTTCTTTTGTTGAGTACAAAAGAAGATAATTTGAAGAACACTGGTCGAATTCTTCAAATATGTTTTGTGCATGTGCAGGTTTTCAACAGAATAAATCACATGAAGGAGAGTAAATGATAAGGCAATTTCCATTTTTGGGTGAACTATCCTTTTAGATTACTGTTACAGGGAATTATATACAAATAACAATACACAGATGTTCACAATAATGTATACATGGTTAAAATATTGTAATGGGTAACACTTTACTTGGTCTTATAAAGAGTTGTGAAACCTTCAAATCATGACATGTCATGAATGTGAATGAGTTATTAACTGTTATTAAGTGTCATTTGCTCAGTTATGTCATTTTAAATCCAAAGGTGTCATTAGCTACATTTCCATCGACCTATTTTTATGCCATTTTAGATATGCGCATAAAAAATGGTTGATGGAAAAGCTAAGATGCGCATACATTTTGAAAATGAATGATCTCCAGAACTGTCGAGAGCATCTGTGCTCTACGTCTTACGCCTTTAAACGCCACCACACGTTCACTGCGTGTCAGGATTGACATCTGAGGTGCAAGTCATTTATTAAATGAAAAAAAGATTCACGCAGCTTCTCTTACCGCGGCAAATTCCATTTTTACTGTGGACATTTGGCACCAGGTAATCAGGAAGTGACGATTTTGTTCGCTTTGACTCGTTGGATGGAAACGTTACTTTATTTGCATGTCTTTTATGAGATTTTCTAGTTTTAAGCATTAAGGTTATTCACATTTCTAAATGGAAACATAGCTGTTGTTTGTTATGACAACTTTACAAATACATCACATCAAATCTTCATCTTTGTCATAACACATTGACATTACCAAGACAACATCACTTGTCATAAAACTGTCATAAACATGATTGTCATGAGGCGTTACAATTGTCAGGAATGTTTTTTGATCACGTTTTCAGTAGAACAAACTCTATTTGTCTTTAAAATGTCTAATTAAAAGTGTCACTACTCCGCCAAATAATTGTTAACAGTGTAATTAATATTTATTGACATTATAATGACAAATTTCGCTTGTACCACTGTAACTGAGGTAAAAAAAATATTAATTCTGGGGTTATAAAATTTATGACACATTTATAATGGCTTCAAGACAATCTTGTTTGTGACAGATGTATGCCAATTTTGTTGTCTTGGTCATGTCAAGTTGGCAATACAAAGACAAAAACAGGTCGTGATGTATTTGTTTCGGTCAAATTTTCATAACAAACAATGTTTGCATTTAAAATGTCTTAACTGACTGAATGACACTTATTGACAGTTGTTATGAGCATCCATCAAATCTTATTCACATTCAAAACATGTCATATGATTATAAAGGTTTAATGACAATCTTATGAACTCCTCTTCAAGTAAAGCGTTACCATAAAGGGTAAAATATTGCTTTGTATCAACATACAATAAGGCATTCAAAAGGTCTTTAAGGTTTTTGGTTTGAATAACTATGTTGCAGCTTGTTTAAAAACTAAAGGAGTTTCCTGTAGTTGAATGTTTGACTGAGTGAATGACCTTGGGTCTGAAGCTGTGTGTGGGCAGGATGTGTTCGTGCTGGGCACGCGGTGTACCCCACGGGTGGTACAGTTTGAAGCACTCATTGCAGAAGTTGGACCTGCAGTCGGCGCAACCTTTAGTGGCTTCCAGAGTCTGAGGAGGTTTGCAGAACTGGCACATGATCGCCATAGTGCCCAAACTCACTGTATGCCTGTACCTACACACAAACACACACACAAAGACAGATGCCAATCAGAGTTAATAATAGCAGACTGATCAGATAAGCAACCACGTATGGCACAATTTACATGTTCACATGATTGTTAGACTGCATTCCTAATTAATGTGTACACTAAAAGGATTATTTACTACAAAGGTGTTATGACTTTCTGTTATCACTGACATTCATTGTATTTCTTTTTTTACTACAATGGATGATCTTCAAAATATCTTTGTGTGCAACAGAAAAATTAAAAGGTTTGGAACTACTTGAGGAGTAAATGGGTTGTAACTTAAAGATTTTGAGTGAATTGTCCCTTTAAACTAGAGTTTAACCTAGACTATATTTGTCTGGCACCTCTTTTTCTGGCCTCATTTTGCTGTAGGGTGAATTGACTGTTGCGTGAGAATGTTAAAAAGGCTATCAATTTCTGTCTTGGTGTGCCTATGAATAGATGCAAGTTCAGAACATCTGATCTAGTACAACAAACCAGTACAGCAACATTTCTGCATCTTATAGTCCGCTTACTGGAACTGTAAGCTTTAGTTAACAATAGACAATGGGAATCTACGTCATGGTGATACGCATTCCACCATGTTTTTAACACACTCAGGAGCAGACATTGTAAAACAATTCAAATCGCCAGAGAAAAGGTTGACTGTTTTGTAGTAATACTTTTTGAAAAACATTCTATAAACACTTATACTAAAATAAAATATCTTTATTTAAAACATTCTATGTGTGTTGGAGAAGCTGAAAATATTCATTACATAAAATTCAGTCTCCAGTGTTGAAGAGGAAGTCGACCATTTGTCAAGTTCCTTATTTGTGGTGCGAGTGCTTACAGATTATTGCTAACCAGTGTATATATGATACAATAAATCCATACTCTCAGAAATAAAGGTACATGAGCTTTCACTGGGGTGGTACCTTTTCAAAAGGTAGAGTTGTACCTAAAACGTCCAAATTAATACCTCAAGGGCACTTATTGGTACTTCAAAAGTGTGCCTCTTAAAAATTTCAGGTACATACATTTGAGGTACCAATATGGACCCTTTAAGAACAAATGTCTACTTTATGAAAAGAACCACCCCAGTGACAGCTTGTGTACCTTTATTTCTAAGGGTGTAGAGATCAATGGGATCCAGGCTCCCATGTAATTTCCATTTTTATTTCAATGCGCGGTGATGGCACATTCTCAATATCTATAGCAGGAAATAATGTTGAAATAATTTATTCTAAAGTTATTCAGATGGTTTTCTATTTCCAGTACAAGTGGAAGTGCAGATTGAAGTGTGATCTGTGCACACTCTAATGGCTAATATTACCCAAATAACTCTAATGGCCAGGGAATGACATTAACACCCACCAGCCCACCAAATGTGGGTAGATTTCAGCTGTGCTGGATCACAGAGCCAAACATTAACTATGTGCTGTGATCATCCTTTCATTATCACACACGTTTTTCACCTGCAGTGTTTTGCTTACAGTTATTTTTGTTAATATAGTTTAATTGTCTTTTCTTTTACAATAACATTGCTTTATTATGAGATTAACTCCCCGTATATGTCTAGTTAACTAACTGGTGATCTGGAACGTTTAACAAGGCCCGATTACTGTGCATTGTTTTAGATACATGACAGTAGTTATTTTTTAAATGTGAATTTTTTTTTATTTTTTTAAGAAAATTTTTGTTTAATAAAAAGAGCATGTATACAGCTATATTTTGCTTGTTTTTGCACATTATTTAACATTTGTGGCTAAGAAATAATACATCATTTATTTTTGGTGTGGCCAAAGATAAATTTGGTAAATCCTTAATTTTGAGCCCTGAAAATTCATGTGAAATAAGAACTAATTGCAATGCGACAACCCATTTGCTTATGCACATTGAGAAAGCTAACAAACATAGACACATACACACACACAACACAAACAAAAAGTGAATTGAATGAGGACGCATGTGACATGATAGCACAAAATCTAAATCAAGTAATTTTAGCATGTCAAAGTCAAAGTTAAGCATATAAAATATATTTTCCCATCAACAAAATTGTGGCTTGTAAAAATGGGAATTGGCAAATAATGTTGGAAATCTACTAGCCACAGTGGCTGATCAAAAAAGTTCATGTCAAGCCCTGCTAATGGCTAATATTTATTCATTGTGCGCTGGACGTGAATTTGATTAGAACTACAAACATGTTTTCACAAACTACAAACATGGCAGATGCTCGAGACCAGTGGTAAAGTGGAGGGGTATAGCTAAAGATGTATGAAATATTGTTATTTAATACCTAACCTAATGGAAAATAATGATTTCATATTTTCATAGCAGGCATACTGCTATGATGATGTGTACTTTTATAGGGACGAGTTTGATATTTTTCTCTGAATACATGATTGGATTTCTCTGCGGGAAAGACTTGTGAATGTCAAATTACCATGCTGCTGCTGCTGCATCTTCAACATGGTAGAAAATTAAATATGAAAGAATGTAGATAATGTGACATGACGATTAATAGGGCATGTAACTAAGCAACAGAACAGTCCGGTATTGTGGAAGTGTGCAAAGCTTGACTACCATTGTTACACAATCAAAAGTGTGTATTTTTTCTTCATAAAAATAAGGTATAGTTTCTAACGTAGGTAAACGATGCAGTAAACATTTATACAAGTGTGGTTACATTTTAAACACATTAAAAATAAAGTCCATATTTGCTGTGTTGGTGGCTCGGTGGCTCAGTGGTTAGCACTGTCGCCCCATAGCAAGAAGGTTGGTGGTTAGAGTAGAAATGGCATTTCTGTGGGTATCCTCTGGGTGCTCTGGTTTCCCGCAGTAAACAGCTATAAGTAAATAGGAGAAACTGAATTGGCCATAGTGTATGAGTGTGAATGTGAGTTTGAGAGTGTATGGGTGTTTCCCAGTACTGGGTTGCGGCTGGATAGGCATCTGCTGCAAAAATCATATTATGGAATAGTTTATTCAGCTGTGGTGACCCCTGATGAAAAAGGTATGAAGTCGAAGAGAAACGAATGAATGAGTTAATTTTTGCTGTGTTAAATTTGGTAGCTTTACTTTTAAATTATTATGAAAATATTATGTTTGTTACAAAATCTGTCATGTATTTTAGCTTTAAATGTATAACAAATGCCATTATAATTTGTGTATGATTATTAATTGTATACAGTTAGCGTATTTTCAGATTTTTAGCTTGTTCTCTTCTGAATGGTGGTAAAATGAAAGGATTTGCAGCTTTTCTTTTCTCTCAAGGCAATTTATAACTGATTGTACACTGTAAACCCCACTGTTGTCATTACTAAAGATATTAAGGTAATATAACTTGACATTACTTCAAAGTTTGGCATCAAAACTTAAAAAGGGGTGTTTAACTTACTCATTAGGCACAAAAAAACTTTCAATTAATATTTTAAGTTCTCTGAACTCAACATTTTAAATTCTTTAAAGGGGTGGTCCACTACGATATCATATTTTAAACTTTAGTTGATGTGTAATGTAGCTGTGTGAACATAAACACTGACTAGAAGTAAAATTTAAAGGATCCACTGTTAACGTAAACACAGATATTTTCAGTGCAATTTAATACTACTGTAGGTGCTGTAATGTGTCTTTTATTAAATATTTGTATATTGATTATTATATTATTATATTTGTATATAGGATTTTTGTATATACATATTTTTTATATTTAGAATACAAATTTGCCTAGAATTTAGGCTATACTTTTATAGCTCATTTTATCTTCTGACATGAGTTTGTGATTGTATAGTATGGATGGAAAGGCTTTCTGAAACATAGTTGAAGATTGCTTTAATTTAAATGCCATTTAAAACAAAACAAAAAAGAAAAACATGAGCTACAAAAGTCCAAGATGGTTGTTGCTAGATCGGATATGGTTGCGGTCGGAAATAATGAGAATTATTTATGTTGTTTATTAAATTTCCCATTAATTGCATTTTATTAACGTCTACCCCCACCCCATCCCTAAACTCAACTGTCACAGTACTATAAAAATATAAATTATTTTTATACAGTGTCATAAAAAATGCTACAATAATTAATGTGCGTATTGCACTTCCGGCCGGCCGCATGTCCGATCTAGACTTTACCGTCCGAGAGACAAAGAAAGACCTTTCCACGATGCGCTCGAGCGTGAGGTTTCTCAGACAGTCGGCCAGGCCTCGCTCTCCCAGCTCCACGTCTCTTCTGCATGTGGGACAGGGGAACAGCATGAGTATAGGAGGGGTGTCTTTACGCCTGCGTCCCGGATGAGTTCCGCACACTGCACAAAAACAGAGAAAGAGAGAGATACAGATAGCAGAAGCTGTTTCCCAGATTAAAGCTTCTGTAAGCCACTATAAATCTGAGGCAGGAAGAAGAAAGGAAAAGTTAATCAATGCAGAAGTGGAGCAGTTTCAGAGAGCCAGTGTGTGCTGACACTTTCAGAAAGAGCACATCACGACCCATAAACACACAGAGATAGACCTGCAAAATACTGCAAAGACACAACGCTTCTGAATGAGGCAAAATATCTGAAATAGCTAAGAGGCAAGATAATGTATGTCGACATTTTAAATGTTATTTTGTATAATTAAATTAAAAATTTGCTCTTTATAAAAGGAATATATATATTCTCAGTTGCCGTTTCTGTGTGGAGTTCGCATGTCCTCCTTGTGTTCGCGTGGGTTTCCTCCGGGTGCTACGGTTTCCCCCACAGTCCAAAGACATGCGGTACAGGTGAATTGGGAAGGCTAAATTGTCAGTAGTGTATGAGTGGGTGTGTGAATGTGTGTGTGGATGCTTCCCAGAGATGGGTTGCGGCTGGAAGGGCATCCTCTGCAAAATGTACTGGATAAGTTGGCCGTTGATTACGCTGTGGCGACCCCGGACTAAGCCGACAAGAAAATGAATGAATCTTAATTTTAAAAATATTTAAAATAATAGGCTAATTAATAACAAATAAATAAATAACATGATGTCATATTTCGAGCATCGCTTAACTGAATTCAATAACATTTTAAACTAATCTTTTAATAACAGTTAGACTATAGTATACACTGTTAAAAGTGAATAGTTATTTAAAATGAGTAAACCAATTCCCTTAAAAGAAACAAGTTGACTTTACAAAAAAAAATGTACAGTTGAAGTCAGAATTATTAGCCCCCCTGTTTATTTTTCTCCCAATTTCTTTTTAACAGAGAGCAGATTTTTCAACACATTTCTAAACATAACAGTTTTAATAACTCATTTCTAATAACTCATTTATTTTATCTTTGCCATGATGGCAGTAAATAATATTTTACTAGATATTTTTCAGGGCGATGCAGACGCTCAGTAGGTAGTGCTGTCACCTCACAGGTCCAACTTTGGCCCATGGGCCCTACTTTGGCCATCTCTGATTTAGAGTATAAATATAGAGGGACAGAAGTATACACCATACACGATACAGGAGTTTAAGTAGATGACTTTTGAAAGAGTTTTCACAAATCAGATGAACAGAGGTTTGCCATACTTTACAACTTAACCAGCACATAACTCAACAGCTGATTTGGCTGATTTTGAAATGTGTGTTTATCAGTGAATGAGTACACAAACCTGTCCTGATGACTCTGTCCAGTCGGTCTGTTTTTGGTGGAGGTCTGCGGTTCTGTCGAGGGGAGCGTGTGAGGGGGCTGGAGGTGGGAGTGTTGGGCTCTGGAGGGAGTTCAGGTGGTGGATAACCTCTCTGAACCAACACTTCAGCTGCACACAACACACACACACTGTGCGAACATGGCAGAACAATGGGCTGCTTCACCATCTCCTCACACACCGGACAGTGCAGCTCACGCTCCATACTCTTCATGTTAGACTGCACACAGAAGAAGATAATAATGCACTAACACATGAAAAACTGCTATCAAACATACACTGACAGTAGTATTTTATTTTTTACTCTTCTTTTTTTGTTGTCCTCTTTTTTGTTTTTTTACTCTTGTTTTCTATTATCAATCATTACAGCATTGAGCAGCTTAAAAGAGTAAATTCATTTTTATTTTTCATCAGTAGGGTCAGAAAAGGTTAATTGATTTGAAGTGAAAACAAGATTATTTTTCTTACCTTGCTGTTTTATAGTAGTTTATCAGAGTATATCAGAGAGTGAAATTCAATACATTTTAAGACCTTTTTTTAAGACTCTTTCCATACATTTTAGTGTTTCATCTAGGATTTTTTCCAGCTGTGGTGGCAGGCATTTTTACACAGATCTTACAACTACCTATTGTGTTATTTCAATGAGGAATGTCGTGAGTGTAATATGAGCTGGCAAATCTCTGTACTTTGTGTGCCAGTTTCCTCTGTTCATGCACCAAACTTCTTGCACACCATCAAATATATGTTGCTCAATCTCAGATTTTCTTGTGCGCTCTCAAATAAACACTGCTGAAGTGTCTCAGCAAAAGAACCCTCTCTCATGTGTTAAAAGCGACTAGTGCTTGTCCGGCGGCGAGCAAGACAAATTGTCAAGCTATTTCAGAGCAAATCTTTAGAGTTGCATGGTAAACTATATAGGGGGAGACTTGGCAGAATAGCGGCATTTACTTGTGTATGTTGTTAAACTAATTAAAATCTACATAATCGATGCTGTAAAAGGTCTCTTATGAAACTGAAAATAGTCTTATCAATCTTTCATCGGAAGATTTTAGTAGCTGAACAAGACTTCTGTGAAGATTTAACCCATTTGTCACAACAACATCTAACGTTACATCAGATTTGCGTGAAGCTAAAACTGATTTAAAACAGAACATTACCTGTCTAAGAGAAATCCTTCAGCGGAGCTGCGTACAAACAGCTGCACAGTTGTTCAAATCTGCATTCGCTGACAGACAGATTGGGCTACTTGTCGGAATTATGAGAGATGTCGGTCCGACTATATTTAATTGGATGAACATTTTTTAGTTTTATGCCTTACCCAAAATAAAAAAATACATATAAATACATTTAGATCATTTTCTTTAATCATTACTATTACACTGTGAAGAGACTTTCAACCAGCACAACAAAAAATGCTTCTGAAGACAATCAAAAACTGCACCTTTAACTAAAAGCTAAATCGTGTTTGCTGGCCTCAAGCATTGTGCAGCCCTGTCAGTCAGTCAGCAACAATATTAAACAAATACGCACAACCCTATTACAGAAAAGTTCACTCTGTTATTAATTACTTAAATTTTAATGCATTTTGGTGCAATTATAACCCGCTATAGAGCATTTCGAGAAATGGAATCAATAACAGTGATCCTAATGTATTTCCTGTTTTACATTTGTAATTTCCATAGTGTCCAAAAATCCAAAAAGGTCCACATTCTGATAAGTAATTTTATGATAGCTGTTTTAACAGGAACAAATCATTGAATTGCCCCTTATTACAGTTATGAAATACTATGATAAGAAGCAGAAAATGTTTATGGGCCAAGGACATTACCACATTGAAATTGTCTATAAAGAATAAAAGAAATCCGCAACAACTGAAAGTTTTGAATGAGAAGCTGTAATTCAGCCGTGGCAGGGAAGACGTCTTTGATTGAGTGTCATTGTGTATTTTGCTTTAAATCGCCTCTGAAAACGCTAAACAACTTGTTAGGTTGTTTGTAATCTAGTATGATTATTTGTTATTATCAATGCGTTGCTTGCCATGTGTTTTTGATGTAAGATTGTATTTAGTTTGATCTGAATATTCATATTGATTATAACGAGTGCGCGCACACACACACACACACACACACACACACACACACACACACACATGTGTCGATCATTTTCCCGCAATTGACAACAAGAACGAACACAGAAGCATTGTCTGATTGACAAGCAGCATGCTACATTAGTTCAAAAGAATCTAAAATGCCAAATAGCATGAATCTATGCCGCATTTTCTAAAGTAATACAATCTGTATCTAGCTTTTCGCTTGTAAGGGGGCTCTGACCTGTCAAAACACCTCTAAAAAAGGCTTTTTCAGACAAGACATATTTGTACGTGTGTACATTACTGTAACACGTTTTATTCAAGAACATCTGAGCTGGTTTCAATCCTTAGCTCTTTCCTTTTCATTTTATTTCAAATACATTTAACTTGCTTGTTGATTAAATCCCATTTTGTTATATAACCTTTTATTTTTATGAAACAGTTAAGTTGCATGTTAATTTGCTATGAAGAAAAGGAAATTATTTATTTTTTGCATGCTGATTTATGTAAAAATTGTGAATATAGGTCTATATAATCACTTTGCAATTTTGAAGTTATAGCTTTTTTTGCTTTAACTATAGACTGTTCAGTTCATAAGAGCAGATCAATATTTTTTTAAGTTTGTTGTATAAAAATACTACATTTTGAAAAATTTATAATTATCGGCCTATATATATCGGCTATCAGCCTCCAAGTCTGAAGAGTTATCGGTTATCGATATCGACCAAAAAATCCATATCGGTGCATCTCTAGCGGAAACCATGATAAGACCTCATCACCACTTTCAATTTCAACCAGTAACATTGGTGACTTTTAACTTAAAGTATATTTACTAAATACTGACTGTAAAAAACTAAATCTAAACTAAAACATTATTTATACTGAATAAAAATGCTAATCCAGTATGTGGCGCCTAAAACAGCAGGAATAACTGTGTTTGGTTGGTTACTGCAGTAAACATAGCAGCGTGGTGTCAAATCTAGCAGGATTTTTTAAAATCTAAGCTACACAGCATCTTGATATTCGCAGATTAAATTCAGGCAAACTTTAGCACACTGATACAAAATACTGAGGCTGATACACACTGACTACGTTCACATTGTCATCAGTGATCAAATAATCTTCCTTAATCTGAATAAGTCAGTAATTTGATTAAGGTGTTTACATGAGTTGCTTTTTGAATGTTCCTTTCGTGATGCCGTTTTCCATGTTATAGCACATAGTTCGATTAACATCATTGTGTCACCACAATATCCACATTTCCTCTGGAGTTTCATGTAACTTCAAATTTAATTTTTAATTTGTTCACTTTAACTCTAGTTTGGCACTTTCACTTTCATTTAGGAACGTTTCATGCATGCCCCTGTGACAAACGAGATATTGGATGCGAGTATGAATTGCTGGAAGAGTGTTGTTTTAATATAATATGATACCGCACGCCGTATGGGAACAAACCCTCCACATTTGGCGATGCAGGTGTCTGCGGTCCTTTACTGACTCGGTATGTGCAGAGAATAGTGTCAAACAGCCGTGTGTGCATAGAATATCCTGTTGCAAAATGTGGTGAAAATCTTACATGACGGTAATAGTTTAATTAAGGTGTTTACATATCTGTACTGCACTTCAATAACGTGATTAAAATCGGCTACTCCACATGTCTTAATTCCATTTCTGTTTAGTTCGATTATGACCTTAATCAAATTAAATTAAACAAAAATTTATGTTTACAATGTGTAGACTCTTAATCAGAGTATTGTCTTAATCGTATTAAAATCAGATTATTGGTGTCCATGTAAATGTACGCATTGATACTTTTTAAGACCCCTCGGACTCCATGTTTTACATCAAACTATATATTTTTCTATTGTCAAACATAAATTCAGTCCATTTACCTCATTCTTTCAGTAAATCAAGGCCTACTGTCAAGAAAAGCAAAGAAAAATACTGAGAAAGAAAAACATTTTTGCAATGCAACACTCCTTTCATGTGCATTACAGATTGTGTTGATATATGTATCTACTGTGAATTATAAGCTGTGGACTGAAGGAAACACTATCATGAGCACAGATCAGTCAGAATGAGCTTTGCATATAAGGAAAAAGATGGACATCTCAAAAATCAACAGAGGTTATTTATTACCTGTGGTCCATACATTCTGTCTAGTTCAGTTTAAGAATGACTCCAATTTCCTTTTTCCCCCTGATGTTGCCTACGATAAAAAAGTATTAACTACACGAATATTGTGCTTATTTACATTTAAGACGGTCGAGTTACCAAATGGACTTAAAAACAGATTAAAGGACGTAAAACATCTGAATTACTTCTTGTATTTGGTCATGCACATAAAAACATGATAATTCTAAATATTTTTTAATATAAGAAATGATAGTAGATTAACTGACTTATTAAACAGGAAGACATACAACAGCTGTGTTGCAGAAATACAAATTCCATTCATTATCACCACAGGGAAATTGATTTTCAACCATGACTATAAATCTTTAAGGACGGGCCTTCAGTGAGCTCTGAGACTGTCAATCAATAACAGTATATGCTTAAAACAGAAACTCTCAGTTCACCTTATTTATTTTTTTATTTTTTTAAGAATAAGTATATTCAAGAAAGTAATTATTTTTAGAAAAAATACACTACCAATAATACTGCTGAGAAATGTAGGAAAAATATTATTTGTATGTACAGTATTTGTATGTGGGTGAAAATGGGAAGGGATTTTCAAGCATTAAACTAATAAAAGCTTTAGATTTGTATATTAGAATGTGTCTTTGTCTTTTTTCTGAGCAAGATAGAATAAAGAAGACATACACACAAATGTCATTCAGTGTAACAATAGTTTACAATTTAAACTATAATTGTCAGTCATACATATTGTCAGAACACATTTAACAGATTAAAAGACTCCCAAAATCATCTCTGAAATACTAAATAATAATCATGTGCAACAATTAAATGTAATATTTTAAAACATTTCATGGATTAAAATTGTATATTACGTTCAATATTTCATGGATATTGAATAACATTTAATCACCATCGTCACTTATAGTTTAATATTTCTTCATTTTAATAAAAATGTGAAAGATTTAAATTAAATTGTGAATTTACTGATTGAATTGTAGTTTATTTACTGTAGCTATTATTTTTTAGAGTGTATTTACTCTATTTACTGTAAGTACGTACTGCTTCTTTTTTTTTTTTTTTTTTTTGTATTAAGCTAAACTTTGTAATGGTCTTAGTCAACTCACAACTGGTTTGTTTGGTTCATGGCTAATGACTTTTAAACAAAGACTTGATGAAAACATACTTCCAATGAAAAAAGCCATGTCGCATACTCACTGTTTGAAAAAGATTTCCCTATACTGAAAGAGAAAATGCTGACTTTTGCTGCGTACCCAATCCAAACAAACACTCAGCTAATTAGTAAGATATTACCAAACGTGACCAGCTAATGAAAGCATAAACAACAAATTAATTAACACTCTTAAAATCTGTTTACAATCATTGATGGGTCCTTGTAACTTCCCGTTTCACTTTTTTATGTAAATAATTATATATATGAAGCATTCAGATGCAAAAACCTCTAAGTGCCGTATGAAATTTCCACTGAAAATGAAAAATTTTCTCAGCCTCCTTTATGTTGAAATTTTTCTTTTTAAAGACCAGGAAAAAGACTTATTCTTTGCCATTAAAGTGATATTACTAAACACACACAGGGGCCTAATAACAATGCTCATTTTAGAAGGAAAAAATCAGATGGCTTTTAGAGTTTTAATCACTGAAAGATTATTTTGGGAACCTGATATGGTTTTTCTAAGTCATTACTTAAAAATAAAAAACTTCTTTTGAGAGTGTAGGTTATTTTATACTGTTTTCTCTTCAGGATCTAACCAATATTTTTCCAAAAGCTTTATATTTGTTTATTCAAAAAATAATAATATTATTATTTAAAACTACAGTAATGCATTTTATGATTATAAATCCATGCAGCCCTCTTCTATTTATTTTTAAAGATATTGTCCAGTGATCTGCACGTGCCACCGCGCAGGCCTGTCCCACACAGGCTCTCCTGCATCTCGGCCTCAGCCCTCATGCATTCCGTCTCTATGGCAACAAGCATCCTGTAGCTCAGGCCTATTTCCATTCTCTTAGATTTAAAGACTCCTTCATTTAATAGATTATTCTCTATCATTTGTATAGATAAGTTACATTTATTGCGTAAGCGTCTGACATGCAGACAGAACTAAAATTTAGTTTTTATTCAGTAGGCCTAGACATACGACAGAATAAAAACCGCGATATGTTATGTTATGCTAGACCCATAAGAGCAAATATATCATCATAAAATGACAATACCGGAGGAGAGGCTGCCACGCGCGGTTCATTAGATGGGGATGAAAATGGACTCGGTTTCTGCTTACAGGTGTTTTCTCCTGCTCTCGCGGTTATTAACGAAATGTTAGGGTTGGCCATTAAAAAATAAAACGTCCTGTTTAATAAACAGCAGGACAGAAGCATGGCGTGCGTTCACGTGTTAAATAATAGCCACATGCAAATCGTCACAGAAAACGTGTAAATGTGCGGTTTTGATGATGCAAATGCACTTACGCTTATGCGCACGAGGGCATCCATGATGGATGTAAAGGTTTGCAACTCCGCGTCTGCCATCGCTGAAACTGTGCCGTTGTTCAGTTGATATTGTCCGCAATAAACGCTATTATTGAGCTCTCTTGTCTATATCTGTGGAATCATTCACGACAACGAACGGTATATAAAAGCAAAATAAATGAAATGGCTGCAACTGCCACTGAAATTGACGCTTAAGACGATGCTTTACGTTATAATTATATTATTTGTGCCTAATAAGTCTGAGAGGTCCAATTTAACGCAGTCCATGTTGAATCGGGGCTTTTTCTGGCTCTGGTCTTTGCTGACGGTTGTTAAGCCATCCATGTAGGCGATGGATGTTGTGAGGTGTTCAGGAGCAGAGCAGCACTGAGCATGCGCAGAGATGCTGAGCAGACGCTATTTTCAGGATGATACGGGGGTTTTATAATATAATCAGGCCCGGCGCCAGGAAGTCAAAACTGAGGGGGCACTTTAAATCCATAGGGGGGCACTAGACCTGGTGACTGATTTTGGTCTCTTGTTTCTTTCATTTAGGCTATTTATTCGCATTTATTATTACTTTGCATTACTGCCTAAGTTACTGAAGGCAGTAATATAGGCTACGTTTTAATAGTAATAGCAATACGCAGTTTCGCTATTACGAATTTTATTAACGATGGTAATGCATACCGCTTATTAATGCAGACGGATGATGGCTTCAGTGCCAAACGAGTGCTTTAAATCATATGTTATTCTCCTTATTTCCCTTTTATTTCAAATAACAGGTTTATGAATGTTTAAAGTTTTAGGTAAAGACGTCAAATTATGCCCACACATGCAAGCTGACACACGATCAGACTATTCATTTAACTGGTAAATAAATATAGTGAAATCAGCTTAACCGAGTCATCACGCTTCACAACCAACATCAGTGTTGGGGAAAAGCTAAATGTGACAATCTCATTCAAAACAATTACTTGGTTACATTTTAAGGCATTAGTGTAGCCAGAAAAATACCTAAAAAAGATACAAAAATTCACAGTTATTACCGTGAAAATTGGTTAAATTTTTATATGCTATATAATTTTTTTTCATCATTTTAAATGTAAAAACAAAGATTTGTCTAAGGCTATTATAAATGTGCTTTTTTCGTGATATTGTAAACCATCATAAACCTTATGTACCATAATTTCTAGGCCTACCCGTCATTTTATTTATTAATTTATTTATTTATTAGGCCTTTTTTAATAGCTTTTTTTCAGGTTATTTTCATTTTAGGGCCATGAGCTAAGTCAAAACAAACTCGATATGTTGTATTTTAGCTCTTAAAACAGATCTACAATATATTTTATGTTGTTTAATTTTGCATGAGCAAATAGCAGTATAGCCTAGTTGCATATTTTTAAAAGATTATCATTCTGCCTACCTGCAGCGCACGAGATTTCTCGGTTGATCCGCGGTAAATCCACTTAAGCACTATACCTATTCCATTTATAACACTGCAAACTTGACTTCGCAGGCCGATCATCTTTAAACGCAAAATGCATTTATTATGTGTTATACCTTGACTGCAGTTGCATAATGGGATGTTTCTCTACACAACTGTAAAAGTGCGCTTTTCAGCAAAATGAAAGCAAACATTTAAAGGGTTCTGCGTTTTGTCAATTTTAGCTTAATTGTAATAATATTAATAATAATATTAATAAATAAATTAAAATATTATTTATAGTGTAGCCTACTGTGAGACTGTGCAGTAAACTATTTATTTTTATTAAAACATTTTTATAGGCTACATCTTCCCGAATAACTAATAAATGACTGGCAGTTGCGTCTCTGCTAAAATTAATTTAAAAGCAAGTTTCTTATGTGTTTTTTTCCTTTTAGAGCTCAAGAGAGTTGTGTTTAAATAATTAGTTAACCAAAACATGTAATGAATTAAGCTGCTCCTATCATGTCACCCATTTTCTCCCTTGTGAGTTGAGTGCGCCTCCATCGCTGTGTGCGCGTTTTAAAGGCTATTTACGGGCGCACCAGACCTGACGCGGGGACCGGATCTCTGGACTATAGGACTAGCTTTAACCTCACCATTTTCATAATTTAATTGCTATGTCATATATTTTAAAATATTTAAATGTGTGTTCTGAAGGTTGGAAGGACGGGAGTGTTAATAATTAATGACAGAAAGAATTTTCAGTTTGAGTGAACAATCCTTTATAAAAACTGGGGGGGCACAAACTCTGTCTGAGGGGGCAATGCCACCCTTTGCCCCCCCGTAGCGCCGGGCCTGAATATAATACAGGGGTTTTCAAATCCCGAAGGGCGCAAGTGTGTACTTGAGGGACAGTGGACATGTTTCGAGGAAAAACAAGCATTTGAAAATGCGCAAATAAGATAATACTTTTCAAAACACAGGCCTACAATATAATAAATAGGCCTTTATATTTTTAAATAATCTGACAATAATACAGGAGAAACAAGCAAACACAAACATAAATAATCTGATAGTTGTAATAATACAAAAGAATCATTTATACAATGAGATTTAAATAAATGTCAGTTATTTAAAAAAATACACATGAAATTAAAATGAATAATTTAGTGCAACGTTGATTTAAATGCATGTTTAAAATAAACGTGTAAATAAATAAGTACAGTTATACAATGCGTAGAAAATTGTATAAGTTTGGCCTATACAAATATAAAAATAGGCTATACTGGCATATTTTAGAGACTATGGCAGCAAAAAGATTGACAAAATGCACATTTATACTGTACATCATACAAATACTACAAATAATAAAATAAAACCAATAAAAATGATACAACATTATGCATAATTAAGATGAAATAAGATTTAAATTATCCAAATTTGATTAAAATAAAAACAAACAAATTAGATTTATACTACTAAAAATAATTGCACTAATAATATAAATACATCAAACATAAAAAGCTGTAAAGTACAGTAATTAGTAGAAGACTGTAGGATAATTTAATACAACATAAATATGTATATATATATATATATATATATATATATATATATATATATATATATATATATATATATATTTTTTTTTTTTTTTTTTTTTTTTCACAGATTAAATTGAATTTGTATTCAAGAAATAGACACATTTTAAATTGTTGGATTGGTTTCCTTGCTTGAGCATGATCATACCTGACCTAATATAACATTCATTCATTCATTCATTCATTCATTCATTCATTCATTCATTCATTCCTTTTCTTGTTGGCTTAGTTCCTTTATTAATCCGGGGTCGCCACAGCGGAATGAACAGCCAACTTATCCAGCAAGTTTTTACGCTGCAGATGCCCTTCCAGCAGCAACCCATCTCTGGGAAACATCCACACACACTCATACACTACAGACATTTTAGCCTACCCAATTCACTTGTACCCCTAGTCTTTGGACTGTGGGGGGAAACCGAAACACCCGGAGGAAACCCACGGGAACGCAGGGAGAACATGCAAACTCCACACAGAAACGGCAACTGAGCCGAGGCTCGAACCCAGCGACCTTCTTGCTGTGAGGCGACAGCACTACCTACTGCGCCACTGCTTCGCCCCTAATATAATATAATATAATATAATATAATATAATATAATATAATATAATATAATATAATATAATATAATATAATATAATATAGGCTAATATAATATAATATAATACAATACAATACAATACAATACAATTAAATATATATATATATATATATATATATATATATATATATATATATATATATATATATATATATATATATATTTTTTTTTTTTAGCTTAGTCCCTTTATTTATCAGGGGTTGCCACAGCGAAATGAATCAACAACTTATACAGCATATGCTTTACGCAGCGAATGCCCTTCCAGCCGCAACACATCACTGGAAAAATAATATAATATAATATAATATAATATAATATAATATAATATAATATAATATAATATAATATAATATAATATAATATAATATAATATAATATAATATAATATAATATAATTAATATAATGTGGTTTGATTTGAATATAGATGATTGATTTGAACAGATATTGGTGCTATATTTTAAAACTAAAGTGAATGTTGTGCTGTGTTCTGTCCACTAGATAGAGCTGCAGAGTTTCTGCACCGCTGTCCGCTCTTGGCACTGCTTTTACACGTTAGCGGCGCGTCATCTTTACTCTGCTGGCACTGGAGCTGAATAGAGTGGAGTATAATCTCTTTCCCTCAGCTGCTTTCAAAAATGGGTGAGTTTACTTTCACGTTATCTATCCAGGATAAAACCATTTCAAGAGAAATCGCACTTTTTTGTCGACTAGTTTGCACGCTTGATCATGAAAATGACAGATGCAGACTGACAGGCAGGCTTGCTGGACATTTTTTATGCTCATAAATGCCAAATAGTGGCCTTCTGCAGCTCGTCTCATAAATCACTTCAAGGACAAAATGTCATGTTTCGTCCACTTGTGTTTCAAAGTAAAGCATTGTTAGTTATGGTTTGCGAGTGTTTTTTAGCCCGCCGCTAACTTGTGCTTAAACATTTAACGTTAACACTTTATGATCGACATTGACCCAGCCTTTAAAACGAAATAGGAAGACGTATTACAATACATAGCGTAATCCAGTGTACGCTCACTATTTTAACAGAAAACATACAAACAGTAAATGGGCAAAAATGTAACTCCAATGTTTGTTTCCACACGGAACTATTTGAAGCGCGTACACTGACGTGTCCAAGTTCTTGCATATGTGATTGCTTCACAATTTATCCATAACTTTTCTCATCTTAATGTTCTTTACTTTTTAACTTCATCCACGTATTTTAGTGTTTGCTGTCTGCAGAGTATTAAACGATAACATCTTTGTTAATTGATTTCTTTGTCAGCTAACGTTACGTTTCACGTTATAACTCTTCCGTAGTGAACACTTGTTCGTCGGAACCAACTAACGTTATAAACATTACAAGAATAGCTAGAGATGCATTTAATGTTTTTTACTTTGTTTGATTCTACTCGAATGATTTATTTAGACGAGCCACTGCAGACTATTTCGTGGACGTCAATTTAGGGATTTTTTGACAGCCAGAAAACACCTTTAAAGGGAGAGTTCATTAAAAATTAAACATTTTTCACCACTTACTCGCATGGTTTCAAAACTTTTTTTCTTTTTGTAAACACAAAAGATGATATTTTGGAGAAAGCTGAAAAACTGTAACCATTTACATCCAAAGTAGGGAAAATGAATACTATGGGCATCTATGGTTACAGATTTTCAGCTTTCTTCAAAATATATATATTTTTTGTGTGTTCAGCTGATTTTAAGTGAACTATCCTTTTGAGTGTGTTCATTTAACCTTATGAATTTATGTCGGGTGTCCTGGTGGCCCAGTGGATAGCATGATCGCCTCACAGCAAGAGGGTTACTGGCTCGACTGGGTCAGTTGGCATTTATGTGTGAAGTTTGCATGTTCTCCCCGTGTTGGCATGGGTTTCCTTTGGGTGCTCTGGTTTCCCCCACAGTCCAAAGACATTTGCTATAGGTGGATTGAATAAACTAAAATGGTTGTAGTGAATGAATGTATGGGTGTTTCCCAGTGATGGGTTGCAGCTAGTATGTCTTTCACAGTATTTCACAGTATGTCTGATATTATTTTGTCTTACCTACTATACATAGTAAGATATTATGTACTGTCATCTTGGCAAAGGTAAAATAAATCAGCCATTAGAAATGAGTTATTAAAACTATGATGTTTAGAAATGTGTTGAAGAAAATCTGCTCTCTGTTAAACAGAAATTAGGGAAAAAATAAACAGAGGGGGCTAATAATTCTGACTTTAATTGTCTCTGTGTGTGTGTGTGTGTGTGTGTGTGTGTGTGTGTGTGTGTGTGTGTGTGTGTGTGTGTGTGTGTGTGTGTGTGTATGTATGTATGTATATATATGTATATATATATATATATATATATATGTATGTATGGATGTATGGATGTATATATGTGTGTGTGTGTGTGTGTGTGTGTGTGTGTGTATATATATATATATATATATATATTTTATATATGGACGTTTGTTTTTAAAGAGAATATGTTTTGTCTGATTACAACATTTTATCCTATAATAAATAAATAAACAATAATATATATTTTCCTGTAATTTTCACTGACTGTTTGCAGTATTTTCTGAATTATGGAGAGATGAAAAGAGGTTCCCAAAATCCCAAATATATAAAAAATGCTGACTAAAAAAGAAAATAGATTTTTGTTCTAGAAATGCAAATTAGTGCATATTTAATAAAATACCAAATTTAATGAAAATATAAATAATGTCTCATTTGCCTGTTCTAACATAATATTTTATAAAGTTTCTAATAAACAAAATGTTTCCAATTCTTAATGAAACCAACCTACTGTAAAAATGTGGACATAACTGTCAGTATATATACGGTACTGTGCAAAAGTATTAGGCCACTATTTTGTCTGCACAAGGAGTCTGAAAAGAGCAAGGGGTCCTGACAAAGAGATCTGATTATAATAATCCAGTCACCTGTCCTGCATTGTTTTGCCTTAAATACTGTTTTAAGTAGTGTTATTTGGCAGTAAGATGCATAAAAGCAAATCAGTACTAAAAGAGAATGTTCAACCTGTTCTTTCTAACAGTGTTCATCTTTCTGGCTGTCTGTCTCTCTCTCTGTGTGTATTGTTCCAGCGGTGAACACAAGCACGTCTCTAGTGTTGTCCAGTCTGCTGTCGGTGCTGGTGTTTGCAGGAATGCAGATGTTCAGTCGACAGCTGGCTTCTTCAGAGTGGCTCACCATCTTGGGCGGCTTCCTGGGCTCCTTGTTGTTTATCTGCTCTCTTACTGTATCCTTCTGCTGCTTTATGCAGACAGTCCTCCTTTGTTTAGCATCAGCGAGACGTGTACACATTTGTGCTGTGTTCATCCTTAACCCTTGATTTCAGGCTTTCAATAACCTGGAGAACCTGGTCTTTGGCAAAGGCTTTCAAGCCAAAATCTTCCCAGAGAGTAAGTCTTACTGTATATGCAAACATGATGAAACTCTGCGCATAAACAACATTATTATGTGTGTGTTGTATAAATTTTCCATCACTAATTTAACCCTTATGTTATGTAGGGGGCGTTTATATCCACTATGTGGTGCTGTTGACTCTTAATTTGGCCACAACTTTCTCTATGTTTCAGCAAATGGGATGATTTTTTTGTTGACAAATCTTGACACATATTTTGGGAAAATATTTTGAAAATGTTCAAAAGCTCAACAACAGACTAATTTGACTAAATTTACTACCCTTCCGTAATGTTTGTGGCTGTTTTTGCCTCAATCACTTAATTTAAAATGAAATTTTATGATTACAATGCCATGACAACATAATAATAATAATAATAATAATAATAATAATAATAATAATTCATTCTTGATTGTTAGTGGTTTTCCCTTTTGGGAAGTGGTACAGTTTGTAATTTTTATTGTTGATCATCAGTTTCAGTGCTAAAAAAAAGCTCAAACAAAAACATAGAAAGTGTATTCATGCATGCACACTATTGCTGTAATATTCCATAGGACTCCTTATAAATGCCAGAAACTAAGTTTCTTTTGCACAGGCCTATCTAAAGGGTTAATGGTGCCAACTAATGATCAACAGTAAAATGAGTAATTGTACCTCTTCCCAAGAGAGAAAATCTCCTACAATCAAGAATGCATGATTATTTGGTGCCATGGCTTTGCAATCAAAAAATGTTATTGTGGCAAAAACACACTCAAATAATAAATGAGGGAGAAAAAAATGAAAAACTAACAATGCATCAAAGACAGTGTTGTTACTGTGATAAAAGATAAAGATTATTCCAGTCTAAAATTATCTTTTATATTGAAAAAAAGTAATTTTGTTTGTGTTTTTCCCCAAAATAAATCCTATCATGGAAATTGGAAATTAAATTGTCAAAAAAGATTTAATAGTTTTGATCAGGACTAAGGTTGATTTAACAGATTAATGCAAAAAAAAAAAAAAAAAAAAAACATTTTGAACATTGAAAATCTATTTGATCTTTTCACAGCAGGTTAGTTTAGTGTATGTTTTCATCCCAAACAAAATAAATAGGCAGTAAATGTAAACAACACACGAGGATTAACCTGATATTACATTTAAATAAAATGTCAAACTAATATTATTTTAACATGGACTGCTGCAGATAAACGTTTAAAAGAACATTTAATAAATAAGTTTTGTTCAGTTGCTGTATTTTGTGTTTAGAATTATGTGAGTACTATGATTTTAAGATTTTAAACAAACTAGTTCTCGATATATCTAGAATTGTTCAGCTCTGATATAGTTTATATTTTACTGTATATTCTTTTATACTACAGCACACCTAATTCAGAAAGAATATATTCAACTGTAACTTTTATGCTGTTACAAAAATAGTTTTAAAGAAATAGTTTTTGTTCTGTCGTTCAACAAAAAAGGTATTAGTTTCCACAAAAGTATTAAAGCTGCATTAAGCAAGGATTATGTTACTGAACACTGTAGTAATAATGCTAAAAAAAATAGTTTTGCATTAATAGGAAATATTTTTATTTTCATATATTGAAGTAGCAAAATACACAATGTTCACAATTAAAAAAAAAAAATTATTTGCGCTCAAATAATTTACATTGACATGCTGACCTCAAACATATGAACTGTTACCCATTTCATTTGGTGAAATAAATAAATTCTTAAGTAATTATGGGCAGGTCATTCCACTGTGGCAACCCCCTAATATATAGGGGATTAAGTCGCAGGAGAATGAATGATTGAAAATAATTAATAATGCTCAATATGGTTGACAAATGTAGTTCTATTCTTAAGGACTTGATTTATATCAATGTAAATCTGCATTTGTTTCCTCTTAGTTGTCGTGTGCATGTTCCTGGCACTGTTTGCATCCGGTTTGGTGCATCGCGTTTGTGTGACAACATGGTACGAGGATATGAATTATTACAAAATAATCGATTAACTATTTACTTTTACTTTTTTATACAAATAAACATAATGTTAATTAGCATCCACTTTTTTGTTTGTTTTGTCTCTTAGCCTGATCTTCTCTGTCTTCGCACTTTACTACATCAATAAAGTGTCAGCAGCTCTTTACCAGGCAGCACCCGCTCCAATTCCAGCCAAACCCACCAGCAAGGGCAAAAGGAAGAATTGAAGCACTTTAGCCATCCCAGCACAATCACAGTCATCACAGCACTGTCTGCTAAAGCTACACAATCTGATGTGTTTGCCAACAGCACACTGTCTTTTTTTTATTCATTCCATTCAAACTTAAAAATGTGTAACAAATTTTGTCAAACCAGTCACAGATGTTTGGTTTTTGGTTCTGTTCGCAAAATATTTTTGTTTAAGGCGTTTGTTATTAAAAGTTGATTGAATCATCTGTCTGTCTGGTAGTTATTATTGATATTATCGTTATCAAGTCAGTTTTCTTTAATAAGCCAATAATACATTCGTCAGGCAGTTTCTCTAGGACTTGTTAGTGCATTAATTGAACTGTAAAATGACTGCTTTTGTGACTGCTTTTTCTAATCTCATTGCAATACTTGTTTTAAATCCAGATTTTGCTATGAAAATACATACAAATCTTGTCAAATCGTACAAAGGACTGATTAGGGAGCCTCTTCTCATATAGTGGATGATTTTAATGCATGGTCGATTTTTTTTCAATTTCACTTTTGAGTTTGCAATCGTGCAAATTCTCTGTTTGGGAAGAAGCTGACCATACATGTTAGAGAAGATAATATTGTCTTCTGCCATGCTCTTGTATTTCATCTTCTCTTTAGTTTCTTTATTTAATATGTGTATAGATGGACACTATGCTGAATGACCACTAAATTCACAGAATTCGTTCTTACTTTCTGTGTGTTTAGACATCCAAACATGGACATCTTGACTTAAACAAGGTTAATATGTTACAACAGTTTAAAAAGAACTAGTCATCAAATAGACATGGATGAATACACATATGAAGTCAGTCTAATCTAAATACATTTATAAGGCATTCATTACACTTTCCCTGACCACCCAAGTTTAGCATGAACTACCAAAAGCAGAGAATTCCTTGTTTGTTTTTTGGCCATGACTGATCACATACCTGCTGTTTCACTCAATATCATGATGCTGTTACTTCTGTTTATTTGTGTCTTTATGTGAATTAGCTGTAATGGCGTCAGTAGTTTTCAGAGTTGTTGTTTTGTTTAACTCTAGACAACTACCCACCAAGCAATTTTGTGATTAAAAGGCGTCTAATAGATTAGGGCTGGGTGATTAATCGGAAAAAGTAAGAAAAATCGACATTCAGAACCTATAATCGATCTAACTTTTTCAATTACTTTCCCTACTATGTGTGAGTCATGTGACCCAGCCGGCTCCGTTAAGGCTGATTTAAACTTCTGCGTCGAATGCACTGTGTGATCTGGCGCAGCCTTTGCTCTGTCACACACCTGCACACCTCTTAATTTTTACTTCACGTCGCACATTTGCACTACATTGAAGATTATTGGAAGCTGCACCAACGATGCCTTGAGATGACATATTTTCCATTACAATAAAATTATTATTTACATTAAAATATTTGTTTACTGAGGACTCAAGAAATGCAGTGTTCAAAATATTATTTACTGCAGTTATTTTATTTAGAAGAAATACTGTTCATTTTCTACTTTTAATATGAAAAACATTGAAAATCATTTATTTTGTTTCCAAAACTGCAAGTTCTTTATTTTCACTTTATCATAAAAAAGTGCCTGTTGGTTTTAGGCAATGTGTGTTTTAATTTCAGTTGTTCAACGTTGATGTTTAATGAATAAACACACACACACACACACACATATATATATATATATATATATATATATATATATATATATATATATATATGGTGTGTTTCATTTAGTATTTTTTTTAATCAAGTAATGCACCTTTCATTCAAAAATCTCTCATAAAAAAATATTTTCATTACTCGAGTTAAAATGTTCAATTTGTCCAAATTGCCCAGCCCTACAATAGATGTCTAAACATAGACATGTTGGCTAAAACTAGGCTTAATTTGGGTTCTCGGAAAATCTAAGAGAGGTCTAACCATAGACCAAAAATATACTAATCATCAAATAGAAAGATTAGACCAGTATCACATTTATTCATGTCTATTTGCTTTAGACTATTATAATCTATTAACCTTGGTTTAGCCAAGACATCAAGCCATATTACATTTTTCACAGAACTGACAACATGCAGTGTAAAGTGTGTTTATACTGTTGTTAAATAACACCACTTATTTCAGCTGCTGAATCTTTTCACTTGCAATAGAATCTTCATAAAATAAAATAGGTTTTGAAGTCATAAAAAATATTATTACATTTATGTAATTAAGTACACATAATTAACACTTATTTGCATACTTAAGTAAGTTAGTGTAGTATTAACTCACTTGGGGTAAATTTTAAAGAATAAATGATGTGATCACAGTAAAAAAAAAAAAAACTAAAAAAAACTCATAAGTCTTCCTGCACAATTCAGTCAGATGATTTCAAAATTCTCAAAGTGTTTTAATTATTTGTGCCAAGTGCATCAGATGTTTAGTCAACTTTTCGTTTTTAAAGGCTTAAAGTGTTAGTGGACTTATGGACCATTTTGCTTTAAACTGGAAAATACATGTTAGCTTGCAAATTGTTGTCATATTTCTGACTTCTCCAGCCTTTAGTATGATTATCTGTGTTGTGTTTGCTAACTGCCTGAGGCCTCACAGTGCATTCTGGGACTGTCAGCTCAGCTGACTCAGCCCTGCTCACTCAAATCTCATTCATCGTCAACTGTGTGTTTTATTTCAACTACCTACAGGTCAGACCACAGATGAGGATCGCATTAGGATGGAACTAAAAGTATGAGCTTCTATCAAGGTTGATGCCAAAATATTTTTACATGCGCTTCAATTGAAACCAGATAGTTGAGAAACTGCTGTGAAATACTCCGGTGAAACAGTTCTCCCAGACTCTGTTGAACTTCTAATTTTCAAAGAGACAAAACTCAACAAATTTATTTCTGCGTTTTTCTGCGAAAAATCTCTTATGATTTACATACCATCTTTGTTCCAAACCCATTTTAATTTCTTTCTGCTTTTGGACACACAAAAAAAATTTATTAGAACAAGATGTTTTGAAGAATGTTGAAAACCGTTAACATAGTATTTCCCTCCCCTAATATACTAGATGTTACTAGTTTCCAACATGCTTGCCCTAACTTGAAAGGAATGTTGAGAGAATTGCAGTATTGCAAACCTCCAGAGCTGTACTCGCAGGGTTACCATGAGAACACAATCACGGCCGGTAAAAACAGCTTGTGTCATCACCCATGGCCATGTTCTCTCTCCCTTCCTCTTTTTCCTTCCCACATACTACTGGTAGAGATTCTGTTTGGTTTCCACAGTGTATAACTGCCCAATGACTTGGCACGGAAACACTGATTCATCAGGGCTTGGGTGGGGTCAGTTAATGCTGGTCAGTTTAAGGATGATAGTATGGCTCTCTTTGAAATCACACACACACTCATAAGTAGGTGTTGATTTTGAATATGTGGAGATCTAAGATTAAATTGCTTTTAACTTTCTAAGTTTGGCTATAAACTGTATATCTAGAATTCATCTGTAAAATTGTACAATTGTACAAAAATGTGGTTTTGTTTCATTATTACAGTGCATGCTTTTTTATTATTATTATTCACCCCGAAAGAATGGAATGGAAGTTTGATAAGTTGCCCCAAAGATGACTATATAACTGCTGATCTTTTTATTCTCCTTCGGCTTAGTCCCTTATTTATCATTAATTATATATTATATAATTAACCGCCAACTATTCCAGCATATGTTTTATGCTGTGAATGCCCTCTCAGCCGCAACCCAGTACTGGGAAACACCCATACAGACTCATTCACACACACACACTCATTCATTCATTCATTCATTCATTCATTTTTTTTCCGGCTCAGTCCCTTTATTAATCAGGGATCGCCACAGAAGAATGAACTGCCAACTTATCCAGCATATGTTTTAAACAATGCCCTTCCAGCTGCAACCCAACACTGGGGATACACCGATACACACTTGCATTCACACACATACATTACACAATTAATTTAGCTTATCAATCCAAACTCCACACAGAAATGCACAGAAATGCTATGTGACTCACCCAGGACTCGGACCAGCAACCTTCTTGCTGTGAGGCAACAGTGCTAACATCTGAGCCACTATGCCACTCACCGCTGAGTTAAACAAATAAATAAAAATACAAGACAAGCTAAAATATTTTGCCAATTAAATTATCACTAAATTTTGGAGTTAAATAATCAAAACATTGTAAAGCCACAGCAAGATACAGCTCAACAACACACACTCTCAGAAATGAAGGTATAAAACCTGTCACTGGGGTGGTACCTTTTTTAAAGTTACACATTGATACCTTAAATTACAATTTTGTACACTTTTAGGGTAGACTTTTGTACTTTTAAGGTATTAGAAGATACACAATTGTATTTTTTAGGTATTAATATGCACCATTGAGATACAAATGTGGGCCTTCTAAGTACAAAAGTTTACCTTTAGCAAAGGCACCACCACAGTGACAGATTTTGTACCTTTATTTCTGTGAGTGCAGTTAACACAACATGGGCAAATAGATGAAGAAACTATTTCAGGAAAAAAATGTGATAGTCTAACATGGTCATAATAATAGCAAGGCACATTGTAATGCAGTGGTACAACCTTAACCATCAGCACAAACAGGAATTTAAAACTGGTTAGTTTATTCTGCTACAGATTAAACTACTGGAGATTAAAGCAATGGCTTGACAGTGTAGTGTTTAAAACAAACACCCAAAAAAGAGATTTTCTTTTGCTATGGCCAAATGTTTTATATATCTACAAAAGATATTTTAGCTGATTAGCACAATTGTTTCTGTATATATACAGTTTTGTTTTGCTAGCAAATATACTGTTAATAACTGCCACAGTTAAATGTACATCATCTTTATTAGTGTGTGATGTAAATACAGTTTGGACATACTACATTTACTTCAATGGTCTTAAACTGGCTCCTGGAGAGCTGCAGCTCTGCACAGTTTAGCTCCAACCACCTCCAACTTGCACAATAGTCTCTAGTAGTCATGAACAACTTGATTAGTTGGATCAACTGTGTTTAATGAGGGTTAAAGAAAACTGTTCAGAGCTGCGGCCCTCCAAGAATTGAGTTTGACTATGTTGTCATTATCAAGTGACTTACCAGCAACAGTTACTTCACAAATCAAACTGGTATTCACAAATCTTCAAGCCTGTTATTTCTCATGTGATTTCCTTTTTTAAATGGACTAAATAAAGGTATTTTTTTTACCTTCTGGGTTGAGACATATCCCTTCATACCTACTTTGCAGACTGTAAAAAATAAAACAGCAGCCCATCCCTTGTAAATAATACCTTGGCAAGATTTTTTACTGACATCCATCCAGGAAGGAGTGTAAGATACACTTTGTCAGTCGAGAAATATTGTGAAAGGTTTGAGTCACTGGCTTAGGACATAGTGAAACAGAATGAAAGAGGGCTGTTCTTCCTTGTAAAAAACATACCTTCAGAACATTTGTTTGACAAAAATATATGAATGCACTGACAAGTGAAAAGTAACCTATGTAAATTAAAGTAATATATTTCATTGCCGAATTCAGTAGTGAAAAAGTTCAAAAAAAGAAAAAAGTACTTGAAAGACGGTTCAAAAGAAGATATTTCGGAGAAAGCTGAAACCTGTAACCATTGACTTCCATAAAAAAATACTGAAGTCAATGTTTTCAGATTTCTTCAAAAGTAAATCATGATAGAATTTTCAGTTTTGGGTGAACTGTCCATTCAAAGGGAACCTATTAAGAAAATTATCTTTTGTAAGCTGTTTGAACAGAACTGTGTAGTGTGTCCACAGTCATATTGGGGTGGTAAAAAGACAAGAAGTCTCTTTTTTTAAATATCCTGATGTTAAAATAGGATCCAAATGCCTTCCATTTCGAGGCCCACCACATCATGATGTACGAGTGTGGTTCCACCCCCCCCCAAATCGATTAGCTTGATAACCACATATTAACATGTCTTCGTAGTAACACATATAATCATATAAACAAAACAGGACATGCACAAAGCAACTGGGATTAAAATATCCGTTCAGCTCTCTGTGATCATCAATCATCATCAAATGTGATCAAAAATGCAAGTTTGTAAGTAATTACAGCGATTTTTATCGGTTTTACCGTCATTTATCACCACAGCTGCCTGTCAGTGCAATTATAAAGGAAGACGCTTTAATCCCAATTTGTGGATGTTAAATCAGGTTTATTTTGTACATCAACATAACAAATATCCATAAAGCAGAGGAGATTAACGTGTATGCTACCACATTTGCCGTGCAAAAACAGTGCAAAGTTAAACGTGGCGCTGTGTGTGTGTGCAAGCGTGAACTTAGTGATGACATGGTGTGTGACTTGTTGCAGAAAGGCTTGAACTAACTCCACAACAAATACATTAAATACTCATTGGAAAAGTTGTTACTGTAGTATTTCTCACAAACATTACGGGAGATCTGCTTCCTTCATGTCTGTCATTGTGCTGTTTATCTGACACAGCCAGAGATTGAAGCACACTCTGAGAGGCACATGGGAACGCTAAGCGGGGAAAACTAGCTCTAAAACCACAGGCAACAAAAACAGCTACATTGTGGTTACAGCAGAAAATCTGCATGTTCTGAAAGGTATAATAAACAATCGGATGGGTGTTTTGAGCAGAAACTTTACAGACACATTCTAGTGCACTCTTATGGATAGGGTGAGGAGCTCTTACACCCGGGAGGAGCTCGGAGTAGAGCCGCTGCTCCTCCACATCGAGAGTAGCTGAGGTGGCTCGGGCATCTGTTTCAAATGCCTCCTGGACGCCTACCTAGGGAGATGTTCCAGGTATGTACCACTGGGAGGAGGCCTTCGGGAAGACCCAGGTCACACTGGAGGAACTATGTCTCTCGGCTGGCCTGGGAATGCCTCAGGATCCACCCGGAGAAGCTGGAGGAAGTGTCTGGGGAAAAGGAAGTCTGGGGTTCTCTCCTAAGACTGCTGCCCCTGCTGGCCCCGGAAAAGAGCCAGAAAAAAAAAATAATAATAATAATAATTATATATATATATATATATATATATTAGGGATGTGCGGAGCAGCCGGTATTTGTATTTGTATTTGTATTTGTTGAGGGGGGAAAAGTATTTGTATTTGTATTTGTATTCGAGTAAAATTCAAAATGGCGCAAAAATATATATTTTTTCTATTGCACTTCTAATTTACGTTATAGTGAAAGTATTGTTTAATTATACCCATTATATAAATTATAGATATGCAATATTGGCTGTTGTTTTTGAACATGTGATAAGAAATGTCATTGAAAAGAAAATAACATAGAAGCCATTATCTCATCCATGGTTAAACCAACAACTAATAAAATACCATTGTGAATATTATGAACCCCACCACCACCACTCTTGTTGAAGGACACTGAATAGACAGAATAAAAACAAATAATACTTCAAAAAACTGTTCTTCTTCTGAAAGAACTTCTTTCCAATAGACATAATTCCAAAAACTAATATTAACTAAATAAATCTAAATAAAACCCTGCCTGGGAGATCTGGCAGAACAAAAGTATTCTATATAATACTAAAAGATACAGCCCTGCTATTGTCATCTGCCAGCCACAAAACAGACACAAAGTTTGTTTGTTTGTTTATTTAGAGATATCTGCAAATATTTTTCAATGGAAGTCAATGGAGGAATATGACTAGTCAGTCATAATATATTTGCAGATATTTCCAATCTGACTAGTCGAATTATAATTATGACAAGTCAAAATATAACTAGAGATATCTCTAAATATATTTATGGATAGTCTGAACAAGGTTTAAATGCTAAAACAGCTTGCCATACGCTATCACCCAGTAGCACAGTGGAGAGTTCTCTAGTTATATCCTTTCAGCCGTTTGTTATGCATTGACATGCAGTCAAATATTTCGCCAAACAGTCCTTAGGGATGCGGTGACACGCAGTCAGATATTTTACCGGACAGATCCGCCACTTTTGGCGCGCATAAACAATCATTAAGCTCTCGTGCTGCAGGAATGAGGAGGTCTGCTGAAGGCGCGCAGCTGACGTGCAGTGAGAGGTTTGCGTCTTTAATAAACTACAGCAGTTTGCGATCACTGAACAGTAAGAATGGTTAATAAATCCATATGAAACAACCCCTTAAAAGTCACGTCTCACTTTCAGTTTCGGGCTTTGGCGCGTTTTGCACTGAGCGTGTGTGTGTGTGTGTGTCTCTCTCTCTCTCTCTCTCTCTCTCTCTCTCTCTCTCTCTCTCTCTCTCTCTCTCTCTCTCTCTCTCTCTCTCTCTCTCACGCGGGCATGCACTGTGGTCTCATGAGGAAACGCTATGAGGAAACGCTGCTTTTTGATATAGTGTTTTTCTTGCTCCCGAATACAAATAATTTTTCAAGTATTTGTTCGAATGAAGTATTCGTAAAAACACGCTATTCGTGCCTTTCCGAATACCGTATTCGGGTTCGGCTCCACCCTTTATATATATATATATATATATATATATATATATATATATATATATATATATATATATATATATATATATATATATATATTTATTTTTTTTTTTTTACAATTCCCTAAAAAGAAAGGATGTCACAATGACACCACTTAAAAGCTCATAAAGATATTATGAGATACAGATTTAACATTTGTTTCATTTGGCCTTTCTTCAGATTTGAAATGTATTTATTTACCAGGGACAATGCTTATTAATCAACATTACACTGTCAATAAGCCAGAGGTTGCCACAAGGGCTAATTCATCTGTTCATTAATAATTTCATCTGTTGCCCCCTGCCATATTTTAAAAAGGCAACCTAAAATGAAAAACACATATTCTTCATGAAATATATAAAAAAGAAAGTCAAGTTATGTCAAAAGAGGTAATTTTTACTTTTTAAAAAAGAAATATTTTGTTTAATGGGAGGCCTATGATACAATATTTCATTATATATTTTACTTATTTGACTTTTTTATTTTATCATTTGATTGTTATGAATACAATATTATATTATTTGAAAAATCTGTTTTGACCTCAAAATAAAACACCTTCTTCAGTAGCCTAGGGGCAAAGCAATCTGTGGTGCTATTGTTATTGTTGTGTATTAGTCAAATAACATATTGTTTCATTTTAAAATATTCATTTTAAACTTAAAGAAAATGTAAACCTTTAAATAGTTTTCCAAGTGTAATATTTCTGTTAAAAATGTTGCCGTAGGATGACACAAATCCTATAATAGGATGGAAATCAGTCTCGTTTCAATGGTAATTTTCAGTCAGAGAACTGTGAGGTCTTTAGTCCTAAACAGTTAAAACGTCCCAGTCCTTCCCACAGACTCACCGCGCCTCAACGCGGGCGGAGCCGCGGTATAAATGCCGCCTCAGCTTGGACAACTCCCGCGCAGGACATTCACATCATTCCTTCATCTTCAGGTGACGCTCTGCCTTTATCAGCGTAAGTACACTAAACTTTGCTCTTCACAAACGCCTTGATATTCAAACAAATGCATGACAAAACTTTATTTCACTTAGTTATAGACAGAGACTTTAAAGTTTTAGCCTTAGTACTGTAAGCTGTCAATCCTTCTTATATGTGAGCAAATAAACTTTAAAGCACGAAGACGAAGTTTAAACGATGTTTCCACGCCTGACGTGCGTGGATGCTCAGATTTGTGAACGTCATCAGCGTCAGTTGCGTAACTTAATGTAAAGTGGTTAAAAAGTTTGATATGTAGTTTATAATGTATTTAAACTGCTGCTCCAGTTTATACTAACAATAATTGCTTGATTTTCCTTTTACTGCATGAACTTGGTAGCCTAGCCTATGTTCGGCATTACTCACACTCTGGCTTGCTTCCAAATGGAAAAATCCACTTCTGTATCTCAATAGGAGGAGTACAATGGGCTGTTTGCGCAACATTAAGTTTGATTAAGAGATGAGACACTCATAAACTAACAGTATTACCCCTCAATTTAGACATTCACAATGCCATCTGATCTGGAGAGAGCAATGGAGACCCTGATCACGGTGTTTCACCGTTATTCAGGCGCAGAGGGGAACTCATCAACCCTGAGTCGAAGAGAGCTTAAACAGCTGATGGAGAAAGAGCTGGCTAGTTTTCTGAAGGTACATTTCATCTGTCATTCTTACATCAGGGTGGGGCATCTCTAAAGACTGGTCCTGGGCCTTTTTGTGAATGGGGCCTTTAATGAAGTCCCTAGATTTAATAAAAATCCCTATACATCCAAAGAACATTTACATTTCACCAAAGCTTATTCATAGTAGGGAATAATAATAATAATAATAATAATAATTATTATTATTATTATTATTATTATTATTATTAAAATATTCTTTGAAGAACCCAACATATTCATTACATTCCATCACCACAAACACACTAATTTGTACATTTGTGCATCTCCTGTCTCTGCCACTGTAGAGTCAGAAAGACCCTGCTGCCGTAGACAAGATTATGAAGGATCTGGATGCCAATGGGGATGGAGAGGTGAATTTTGAGGAGTTTGTGTCTCTTGTGGTGGGCCTGTCCATCGCCTGCGAACAACTCTACCAGAAACAGATGAAAGCAGCAGCCAAGAAGTAATAAAAGACCAAACATGAGGGGAAAAAAAGTTTTTCTGTTTTGTCACATTGTTAATAGTTTAATACACACTTTCATCCGCATGCCCCAATTGGAAGTTGCAACTGCAGTTACAATGCATTTTTGCAAATGAGGATGTTTTGTCATTTTTGTCAAGTCATGTTCAGTTTTATTGTAAGTTTTTCTTGTTTGAAGTATTATTTAGACACAAAAGATGTCATCATCATCCGAACAAATAGTACAACCGTGAAAATAAACATTTTGTGATTTTTTTTTATTCCATATATTTTTTTTGTCCTGCTTTTCCTCTTTGTACTCTTAAGGTCTGAATTCCACAGTTCTCTGTGAAATAACATCCTGAGAATGAGAATGCAAAATGTCTTTTAGGATTGACTCGAGGGCACAGAGGCACACTGGAATTGGAGGAGTTTGAGATTATCTGTATTGTGCTTTGTAATCTGAACATGGAATGTTCCAGAACTAAGCTTCTGTGCACTTTATTTAATGATTTATCTTCAGATTATTCTACAAATGAGGTTACATTTTATCTCTCATTCACATTTTTCTTATTATTTTAAATCATTAATCACAGGGTTGCATGACAAAAAATTATATATATATATATATATATATATATATATATATATATATATATATATATATATATATATATAATTTTTTTAATCGAATTTGAAGGTGGTACAGTAGTCTGTCTGAAATCGATTTTATGAAATTAAATCTGTTTCACCAGATATCTTCATTTACTTCTAAAAAAACGCATTATTTTTTAATTGATGAAATTATATTATACCTCATAGTGCATTTGCCTAAAATATAATAAACTAGATGAATTAGACTGATTGAGATTAGAATTCAATTCATTAATCTTTGACACATCGTAAAAACGATCTGGCATCAAATGTATATTTGTGAGTACTTTTCTGTGTTATATTTCTATGTTCTGATGGTTTAACAGTAGAATATATGGCAGATTCTCAAAAGGTATACTGAAATTAAATCCGACAATAAAACATCACAAAATTGTACAATTTTATAGGTCACCCAAAAATGAAGATCTTTACTCACCATTAAATAACATTTTACTCACAAATTAAATAAGATTAGCTAAAACCGTAGTCCTTAGAGAGTTTAACATGCTCTGGACACTTTGGCTGCATCTGTAAGCTCTAAAATGCTGCCTACGGAGGCAGCATTCCAAGACAGTAAGGCATTAAGGCTCATCCTAATCCAAATTCTTTCTTACATCCTGTCTGGGCACATTTCTTTGATCGAATTTGAAGGTGGCATAGTAGTCTGTCTGAAATCTGTTTTCCGAGCTGCCTTTGTGCACAAACGCTGCCTCCAGTGAAGAAACAAGTCATCTGCCTAATTATTTTTCTTAAATTTCAAAGTGCTGATGTTGTAATAATTCATGCTACCTATCATTTTATGCTACTTTTGAATAGTTGGGGTTAGGATTTAGGTGATTTTACAACCTCAAATGATCCTGCTTCACATCAAAATAAGAGCTAGTTACACAATCTGATGGGTATCTTCTTTCTTTATGGAGATGTGTTTGATATATTTTTGAATTGGAGGTATAGTGCAATCTAAGAGGGTAGCACAAATTGTGAGAACACCGATAGGCAACCTGACTTTCTGGTATTCTGACTTTGTTGGTATAGAATCTTCCAGTGTCTTCACGTTCACAGAGGAGTCACCTGTCTTAACACTTCATGCTCTCTTTAATAATACACAGAGATAAACATCACTGCAGAAATGAACGACATGGGTTTCTACTATACTTACACACCTATGAGGAAGAATAAAGTTTTTGACATCAGGCCTACAGCTATCCACTGTTTATGAAACAGACATTCAGGCATAATCAATATTGTATTAATATCAGCAGTTGCATCGGGTGTAAAGGCCATTTCTTCTTTAATGTTATGTGTAAGGCCACCTGAATTTATAATCTAGACCAGTGGTTCTCAAACTGTGGTACGTGTACCACTATTGGTACGCGGGCTTCCTTCTAGTGGTATGCGGAGGAATGAAATATGTCATGTACATGCTACATATATTTCAAAATGTATCAAAAATTATATATAATGTGCCATATATGACATATAGCCTATATTTCTGAGGTAATCTGCCACATTTGTTTGACTGTGCAGAGTTGTAGCTGCTTTACTGGGCCTACTACACTACTGTATTTCAATACTGCTCATTTCGGTGGTACTTAGAGTGACAATTTTTTTCTGAGGTGGTACTTAATGAAAAAAGTTTGAGAACCACTGATCTAGACGACGCACGTCTGTGATTTTAAAATGCGCAAAACACCTCCCCCCTCAGGAAGCACAGACAATCTGTGGGTGTGTGTTTGAAATCGGAGTAAATAGTCAAGTTGCCTGGCAATTGAGAAAGACTCCTGGGTGTGTCTGTCAGCCACTGCATGAGCTCATGGGAGTAAGTTCTATCATGTTTTTTTTTTCTCCCTCTTCCCTTTTACAAGTCTGAAGATAACTCACATAATTATGTCATATAGCCTACCTTATATCTTCACTAAAACTATTATCAGTATGCTATATTGACACCATGTTCAGGTAGGCTAATAATGATGGGTTTAATACTACAAAAATAATATAGCTTAATGCTGCCACGGCGCAGAGCAAATGTTATATGCATCTACAGTATATATCTTGTAATGAAGGACACATTTTCTCATCGTAGAAGTGAATCATGATGTCTGTCATATGACCATTGGGTAAAGTTACTTTTAAAAGTAGAATATCAAGCACTTGAATCACCTTTTTAAAGTAACAATGTGTTACTTTGTTACTTTTTAAGGTAAGTAATATGAAAATACGTCTTATGTTATTTTTGCGATGATCACTAGATGTCAGCAGAATTCCACAAATTCATCAGGAGCACGTCAACTCATTTTCTCGCCGCCATTTTTTTTATGGCAGACAATTAACCATTTAATTTCTGTCTCACAAAAGAGATAAAACATGTCAGGTGGGTAAATTTAGACATATTTTTTGCTTAATGTCTATGTGGAATTAGCTTCAAAACTGACATGCTAACATAAACAGTGTCCTGAGAGTTTAGTTAAAAGCTCTGTACCTTGTTTAGTCCTTAATGGTTCAAATACTTTAAAGTATCTGAAGTGTATAAGTACATTTTAGCTTTTGTATTTTGAAATACCACTTCAGTGAGAGCTTTTATAAATATTCTATTGCATATACTTTATTTTGTATGTTATTTTTACTTTAGTATATTAATTTATGTCCTCTACATTTTTTTGCAGTGATACCACCAAAGAACCATACTGGGTTCCACATAACAAAAAAACATTTAAAAAATTATAATGTAAAGTAAATGTTAATCTGATGAATGTTTTTGTACTATAAAGAATCTATCAAAAGGTTCTAAAAAAGGAGTACAAGCTAAGGAGTATGTTTCCTCATGATGGAGCATCATACAATGGCAAATATAGGCACACACCTATACTGACTCCTATATCATGCTTTTTCTTTGCATATTTGTCTAGGTGTGTGTGTGTTTGTGCACTGCAGAGTCAGTACACCGGAGGTCTGCATTACAATGTAGAAAAACTTGAACTGAACAAAAGAAAATTAAGGAACACTTAAAAGTACACACCCTTTTTGATAATAGGCCTACGTTTGTCAATGTCAGAGTTTAGAGGGTTAGACTGCCAGAATTTACATTCCGTATACAGACAGCATTTAATTTGTTTTGTGTCACTAACTTCATTGTGTTCTAAAGAAAAAAGCCTATCATTATAAAAGGAAGATCTGTGATAAATAAGTTATGCTCATTTAAAAAGGGTGTGTTTTGTTTATGGTTGTTTACTTTTCAGGATACAAAACTAGACTAATATGAATAAATGATGACACTTGTGGCTGATGAGTCACTTTTTTCGCAGTTACCTCATAAAGAGGGAAGTACTATAATCCTGTTGCTGCACAACATAACAGTCACATGCATTGTTGTATGTCTGCAGAAGACAGCAGTAGTGTTTGCATTTCTGTGTATAGCTGCAGGATAAAGTTTTTACATAGTCTTCTTTAAATCATCTGTTTTGCAACTCTCTTGCATACTTTGAGGTCAGTGAATAAGAAGCGTGTCTGTTTACAGCAAATAGGAAGCTTGTGATTTAAATCTCCATGAAAAAGTTAACACCGGCTTTGGCGTAGCTTTACAATGCTTCTTTCAGATTCATCTTGATCTTAAGTGTTGAAATATTTTTTCTAAAGAATGGGCATGTGGTGTTATAAACTACATAAACAAAATTGTGGAAAGATGGCGTTCAGGATGGCCAACACCCAAAAATGAGAGCGAGGGAGACAGTCATCTTCTAACATATGACTCAGATTCTCGTGCACGAGGAAAATTCATTGAATATATTCATTTATCAAAACCAAATAGCAGAACTTTAATCGAAGAAACCAGATTATCATTTCTGATTTCAAAAAGTATAACAAGTTACATAAGTATGTCTTGTTTTACGGGTTTGTCACTGGATTGGGTGTGCTGTAGTTCTTTCATAGCCCAAGTATGAATCATTCCCGCCACTGTGTGTGAACTTGTGCTGTGGAGCATTAAACCTGTTCTTTAAAAGCAGAAGACGGTTTACTTCAGCAAAACATCTCCCTAACTTCTCTAGGAACACACCAGCATTTGAGGTAAGTGCAAGAAAATATTAAGAGAGAGAACAATGAGTGCAAAATCATGCAATACAGGATACAGGAGATAAAGTTAACAATGCAGTTTATGGATTTTTACTGCATGTCCCTTGTCTTAAAGAGATAGTTTGTTCAAAAATCAAAAATCCTTTAATTATTTACTTATCATACTATTTCAAAATGGTTAGGCACTTTGACCATGAAAGAAAAATTAAAGGGATTAAATACTGTTATGTTATGAACCACTGACTTTCAAGTATCCCAGATGCAGCTAAAATTACATCCCTTCGTTCTTTAAAACTTCTTCAAACTTTAATTTTGTAGATTTTATTGTTGCCAATGTTTGTTAAATTGCGTTTGTGCATTGTGACCTTCTGTATTGTGGTAATGTGCATGATAAGATACTGATAGTCATTAATGACCTTCACAAATAATGTTGATTTCTTTCTTCTAGACATGTCTAAGCTGGAGAAAGCCATTGTGAGCATAGTAGAGGTGTTTGAAGAGTATGCAGGAAAAGATGAGCAGAAATCCCAGCTCAGTAATGCTGAACTCAGAGATCTTATTAAAACCGAACTAAAAAGTCCTGAATTTAAGGTGAGAGTTTGAAAGATGCACTGAAAAAATAAAAAGTTGTGAGAAAGCATGTCATTGGTTGAAGGAAGGCAACACCTCCAATGAGATGTTGCAACAAATGTATTTTGTATAATAAAAGGTTGTGCCTTTGAGGCTTATTATGGCAACTTGGCATGAAAGGGGTTTACCCTAATGAGTCATAACATGCATGCATGAGACTTGAAAAATATGCCTGCCTTTATTTCATCCAACTTGAAATTACTAACACACTTTTAAAACTCAAATCACGCTGTATTGATAGACGACCAGTGCAGATAGTGATCAGATTTATCAGTCTTCAGTCACGTTTCAAACATTCAACAATCCAACAAACTATATCGATAATCAGACCTGAATGTATGCACAGACCTAACAAAGGCTTTCAAAGTGCCACATGAATTTGCCTTTAGTGCATCTAAGATGCTGTTGTTCCTCCTTTTTTTTTTTGCAATACATATAGCTATGAGTGGTATGTAAGTTATAACTTTATTAACATTCCTCTCTCTGTGTCTGTCTCAGGATAAAGTGGATCCAGAGAATATTAAAGAGGTCATGGAGGAACTGGATAAGAACCATGATGGAGAAGTGAACTTCCGTGAATTCAGTCAGTGTATTGCAGGTCTGGCCAGAGGCTACTATAAGAAGAAGCACGGCAATGAGGAGCGCAGAGGGAGAGGCAGGGATAAATGAACATGTTTGTTCTTCTCACTGTTGACAATTACCTCCTTTGCAGTTACCATAGTACCTCTCTAACTGTACTCTGTAATATTACAAAGCTTTTTTTAATGTTCCAAGACAAAATGACAGTTAAAACATGGTAAGAAAAAATTGATAGTCTTTTGTCCTATACTACTACATAGTAGTAGGATATGTTTCTTAACAGACAGTGTTATGGAAAGTGTTTGTCCTTTTATAATGAACACTGACACTTAAGATGACTTGTACATCATTAAATGTTGTAATTGACTGGTTTATACTTTATTTTTGAATATAAATAAAACCCTTTTATGATTGCCTATGTGTACTTTTTATTTAACAAAAATAAGGCCCACAAACAAAAGGTACATACAGCACTGAACCACTGGCCAACTCAGTATTGGAGGCTAAATTTGACCAGCTAGGGGGCCAATCTTCATTGATTGCACCTTCCATCAGTAAGAGCAGGGTAAGAGTGTCAGGGTAAATTAGCAAAGCAAAAGTACAGTTTTACTTAAAATATTGCAATGCTAACAACGTTATGGGTGACATATCAGAGTTCACATACACAGTGTTTGGGGGTGGCTATAACAAGCTGTCACTATAAACACACACACACAGCACCACACTGTCTCTCATTCAAACACATACACAAATATAGACAGCACCAAACAAACAAACACACACACAGGCGGGCGAGCGAGCGATATTGTGAGACCGCCCACTCCTGTTAAAATTACACCAGAGTTACCAACCGCTCCAGCGCTTTATTCAGAAATTTATTCCCACGCCACATGTGGCCAAATCTGGTCGGGTCCCGCGACAATGCACAGGTACAGCCACGGAACTGCAGAACTATATCCAGAAGTATCATTGTAATTGAAACCCTCAATCGCAGAGAAATAGGGGCTTTTGCTATGTGTCAGGGAAAGACTGTCCAGAAAGCACACACATGCAGCGAAATTTTGCACAGTTTCTGTGTTTTTAAGTAGTTGGCACCTGGAGAGTTGTAAATACCCATGCTCGCCTCCCTTGTGACAAAGCGCATATTAGATAAATGATGTCAGTACATAATGACCGGTTAGGATTATTACTGAACCGATACAGAATTGTCCGCGTCTGCATCGCGGAGCACCGAAGAAACAATTAATTTTGACAACCCTAGTTTCAATGGTGCCAACAGTGAAAATCTTGGGCTGTGGACAATGTGAAACACAAATTGTTCTTTGATGAGTCCACCTTCACCGTCTTTCTGACATCTGGGAGAGTTACGGTGTGTATAAGCCTTAAATTGAACGATGCAGACTGTTGCATGCCCAGAGTGAAGCATGGGAATGGGGTGAATCAGTGATGGTTTGGGATGCAATATAATGGCATTCCCTAGGCAAGGGGTGTCCAAACTTGGCCCTGGAGGCCCGGTGTCCTCCAGGGCCAAGTTTGGACACCCCTGCCCTAGGCCCAATACTTGTGCTAGATGGGAGCGTCACTGCCAAGGACTACCAAACCTTTCTGTAGGACCATGTGCACTTAATGGTTTAAACATTGTGTCGTAAAGGCAGTGCCATAGGTCAGGATGATAATGCACCAATACATACAGAAATACTGGTGACAGAGTGGTTTGATGACTATGAAAGCTGAACATCTGCCATGGCCTACACAGTCACCACATCAGCCACTTTGGGGTGTTTTGGAAAAGTGAGTCAGGAAATGTTTTCCTCCATTAGCATCACATAGTGACCTAGCCACTATGATTGAGCTATTCACTATTGTCATTCCCAAGATGAATTGTTGAACACAAAACAAATAAGTTGTCCCAAAATAACCTAACATATTGTGTTGTTTCAGCTCATGTTAAATAAGTAGTTTGAACAAACAGCTAATGTCATTTTTTAAGTGTAGCTTGCTAAGAGGAGGGGAGATGCCGCTAGCATTTTGCTTAGATGGAGTTGTCTTTGGGAAAAAAGCTTAACACTTCATTACCTGTGATTCGTTTGCATTTTGACCACATGTGCTTGGTTGTATACTATATAATAATAAAGAGCTTATTGGGTTTGGTCTTTTAAAAACAGTTGTAATACATTGAGCCACTAAGCATTATGCTTATGACATTTTTTTTACAGGAAGAAAATGCCATACTTCAAATATAGGGCCCTATTATACACCCCGCGCGAGGCGCGACACAATTGTTGTTTGATAGTTTCAGCTTGGGGCAAGACTCATTTTGACATTTGTGCCACGCTGTTTAAATAGCAAATGCATTTGTGCTCATATGTGCACCCATAGGCGTTTGGTCTAAAAGAGGAGGCGTGTTATGGCGCATTGCTGTCGTGTTGCTATTTTGAAGAACTATAATAGTCTGTTCAATAGATCAGATCAAAGCTGGTCTAAAGTGCTGCGCAGAGCGCGTTAGTTGTGCGCCTCGATTACACATTGCTTAATACACACAGGATGTACAGCAATATGCAAATTCTTTACAAATGAAAAAGAATTAAAGGATTAAAATGATACAAAAAATATTATTTTCTAGCCTACATAAATATAAAAACCACTGCCTTCATGCCTTCTTCATTTGGGGGGCTTTTTCAATTTATTCCTAACAATTTGCTCTTGTATAATGTTATTATTATTAGCAGTAGTATTTATTATATGCATATTTCTATTTGTTTTATTAAAAACAAGCTTAGATTTGCCCACCTGTCAGGTCTAGACCATATGGGGCACAGCATGTGTTTTAGGATATAACTCAGGTTTTTGAACACACTTCCTTATTATTGTTCATTTATTCATTTGCTGGAAATTAGAACTGAATTTAGAAATAGTTTTGAAACAAATCTTTGCGCCTAATAAACAAAATGAATTATGTATAGACTAATAGATGTCTGTGCATACAACGTGTTTCCCTATCCACGAGAGTGAAAGTGAAAGTAAATAATGAGGAGGCTCATCTTTCATTCTCGCCTGTAGATGCTCTGTTTAAATGTTTTCCCACTAGTGCAGCGTTCAGTTTTTACACTTACATAGTCCACCATTTAAATAGCAAATGTGCCATTTAGCGACGCAACTGACTCTTAAGAGAATGGAAGATGAGACTCTGATTGGTTTATTGTAAAACACACCTATATCTTATTAAGAGAATAAGCTCACCATGCGCCATGGCGCAAAGCGGAAGTGAATTCTGACATGCCCTAAATGCTTTTGCGTCTGCACTTTGCACATGGATTGTCAAAATAGAGCCAGGCCTGGATTGGCCAATCGGTAGGACCGGGAGAGTTCCCGGTGGACCGGTCCATTTTTTGGCCGCGAGGGCCGGTGTTTTTATCTGCTTGCCCTCTCAGCAGTCGTATTTTTTTATTTATTTATTTATTTATTTGACCATAGCCTCTTTTTATTCATTTTTCACTCTTTTTATTCATTATTTTGCAGCCCCACTTTTCTTATTTATGGTCCCGCAGCCCCATGAGCAAAATGCAGCCTGCAGGATAATAATGATCTATCATTCTGGTCACTCAAGCATAACAGCGCCATTTTGGTCCAGTGGTCAGCGCGTTGCGTTACGTCGTCGTCGATCCGTGTGCGATCCTCACTTAAGTAATTCTTTTTTTTTTTCTTTTTTTTGTTGTTAAGACATATAACACTGTAAGGTTGTTGAACATTTGAAGTTCTAAAGCAGCTGTTTTCTTGAACAAGACATGATAGTGTAATTAGAAACCGGAAATTGGAAATGACCTTATTTTAATATAGTCAGTCGTGAACTGAGGTGGGCCGGTCTAATGCTTGAAACTCCAGGGCTGAAAAGGAGTCCCACTCCGGCCCTGATTAGAGCCCATAGTCTGTGTTAGTAAACACAAAGATATTTATGAAATCCAGGCAACTGACAGTGTAAAGCCACTTAAAACAAAACAAAAATACAATATATATGCCAAGTTCAGTGGCTAATCAGCTAGAATCAGCTAAGGTGACTTGATGATGATCGGCGAGACCTAGCTGTCACTCAAGTGGCCACGCTATTAATTATGCACACTTAATACAAATGAAACGGATGAGTTATAAAAAAATAAACTCACCCTTACAGTTCTCATGAAGGGAAATATTAGCCATACACCAAAATCGTTTTTTTGTACTAGGTTGTAAACACCAATTTTTCTTTTTTGCTGTAAACTTGGCAAATTTATCATTGGGGTCAATAGAAATGTGCTCTATTTTGGAGCCAGGCCTAGGGAAATTTCGATAAAATGCAGTTTCAGTTACTTCTGTTTTGGTTTCACAAAGGAAAGCGGGATGTTGCTGCTTGTCTAATACCAGGCGTGTCAGTTTCATTGCCCAACCCCTGTATTTTGTGTTTATGTTCTTTTTAGACCCATATATGTTTGGCGTACCTTCAGGTGTCAGAAAGTTGTCAAATGTTTTGAAAAATATATTCAGGCTTTTTTCTTTATTGCACATTTTTGGGACTGTAAATTATTCTACTATATACAGTTGAAGTCAGACTTATTAGCCCCCCTAAATTATTAGCTCTCTTGTTTATTTTTTCCTAGTTTCTGTTTAACGGAGAGATTTTTTTCAACACATTTCTAAACATAATAGTTTTAATAACTCACTTCTAATAACTGATTTATTTTATCTTTGCCATGATGACAGTAAATAATATTTGACTTGATATTTTTCAAGACACTTCTATACAGCTTAAAGTGACATTTCAAGGCTTAATTTGGTTAGTAGATTAACTAGGCAGGTTAGGATAATTAGGCAATTTATTGTATAACGATGATTTGTTTTGTAGACTTTCGAAAAAAAATATGTATAGGGGCTAATAATTTTGTCCTTAAAATTGGGTTTAAGAAATTAATAACTGCTTTTATTTTAGCCAAACAAATAAGACTATCTCCAGAAGAAAAATATTATCAGAAATACTATGAAAATTTCCTTGCTCTGTTAAACATAATTTGGGAAATATTTAAAAAATGAAAATAAAGTCAAAGGGGGCTAATAATTCTGACTTTAACTGTTTTCACTTTTTTAATCTTTACATTTTACCGTTAAACCAATTTTTCTATCAAGGTCTGCAAGTAAATAACAATAATTGGGCATCTGAAAAGTGATTTATTTTCTGACAGTACATTTATTTTTCAGCATTAGAAATACAACTTCAATTAACGAGCTCACATACATTGATAAATAAATTGTTAACATAAACAATGATTTTGCCCTAAAAGCATGCTTTTTATTAAATAAGTGACAGATACACACGTTTCTTTTTAACATTTCAATACAAATGTAATTTTTGTAAAATGTAAATTCTAAGCTACTTTTTAAGTTGAAC